CCCAATTCCTCCTTTTTAAAAAATAAATTTTATTGACTTTCTACAGAGAGAAAGGAAGAGGAATAGAGAGAAGCATTGATGAGAGAGAAACATCGACCAGCTGCCTCGAGCCAAATCGGTTTTGGAGCAATTTCTCCTTTTTATAAGGCCACCAGTCCTATTGCATTAGCGCCCACCCTAATGACAGCATTTCAACTGGACTTCTCCGTGAAGGCCTATCTCCAAACAAGGTCACACGCGGAGCCCTGAGGGGGGGCACCCCCATACCTTTTTGGGGAGATACAGCTCAGCCCAGAAGGGTGTGCTTGATGGATGTTCGTCTCTGAAGCCAAAGCAAAATTGCACGCGCATCCTAGAAGCAAGCAAGGCGCCTGCTGGGGCCGATGCTTACATCCTAGTGCGTCTGCAGGCGCTGGGCCCCGATTGCCAAAAAAGGCTGAGTGAGTGCACCTGCGCTCCGTCAGCGTGTGACATGCCCACACGAGCATTCCGCGGTAAAAATAGAAGAGGAGAAATTAGATGTGAGGTTCCAACGGCACTTGATGCTTGTCTGTGCTTCGGAGTTCATTTTCAGGAGACTTTTTTTTAAATTTTTTTATTGTCTTTTAATATCGAAGTCCCCTTTCAAAGGGCCACCTTTATTTTGCTTTCTGTCCGGCCGTTAGTATGTGACCTGAGTTAGGGTGTGGGCAGGACAGTAATTAAGTGAGGGCTGGGCCACCAACAGAGAGCTCTCACATTTAATGATGGCTTTCAAAAGCGTGGGCACATTTAAACAATGTTTTTATTGATTTCAGAAAGGGAGAGGGGAGGGAGATGGAAAGAGAGAGATGGAAATATCAATGATGAGACAGAACCATGGATCGGCTGCCTCCTGCATGCCCCCTACTGGGGATGGAGCCTGCAACCCAGGCGTGTGCCCTGATTGGGAATCAAACTGTGACCTCCTGGTTCCTGGGTCGAGACTCAACCCCGGAGCCAAGTCGGCTGGGCTTTGGCACATTTTGCAGCCCCGTCACCATTGGCAAACACCACTCTTTGCCAGTGACAAGGCCAGAGGGTCCTCCCAGGCCTCTTGTCGCCCAGAGGACAGTGGGCACCTGAGCCCTGAGGCCCCGGCTGGGAGCCTGGTGTCCTGGACGCCTCTGTAAGCGGGGTCAGCTCCCCCCATGCCTCTTGTCCTCTCCTCACAGCCCAAACGATTCAGGGATGTGGTGGCTTTTATTTTATTTTTTTAAAATTATTTATTTATTTTAAAAATATATTTTACTGATTTTTTACAGAGAGGAAGAGAGAGGGATAGAGAGCTAGAAACATCGATGAGAGAGAATCATCAATTAGCTGCCTCTTACACATTCCCCACTGGGGATGTGCCCACAACCAAGGTACATGCCCTTGACCAGAATCGAACCTGGGACCCTTCAGTTCACAGGCTGAGGCTCTATCCACTGAGCCAAACCAGTTTTGGCAATGTGATGGCTTTTAAACACAACCCCAAGTTCTTCGGCATTTCTCCACCGAGGGGTCTGAGCCCCCCTCCCTGAACCTGGACTCGGGGCTGCATGGCCAATAGAACACAGTGCAGTGGCCACAAGGAGGATTCTCAAATGACCACCAGTGACCCCCATCACCCCCACATGCTCCGTGTGGTGGGACCCGTGATGATGCTAGATAATGGGGGGCAAAAGGGAGACTTCCCAAGGGGGCCTCACCTAATCCCATGGGCCTCCCTACTCACGTCACCCCTAATGTGCCCGCCCCCATCTGAGCTCAACCCAGCTTCCTCAGGGGATCTGCCCGCCCTGTATCCCTCCTTCAGAGATTTCTTCAGAGCCGTCACCACAACTCAGATTACGATGTGAATATGCTTCATTTTAATTTGACCTTGGTGATTTTAAAGTAGGCTAAAAATATTAGTCGAATATCTCTTTATGCTCAAAGTTTGAAATAATGCAAATCTCCCAAATTAAAAAAAAAATCCCCTCAGGATGGCACAGTCTGAGAGCTGCATCCCCCAGGATTTAGGAACAGTATGCCACTGGCCTGGGTGGGCATCTCGGCATTGGAGGGGGTGGGGGTGGGAGACCCCACCTTTGCTCCGGAACTTCTGAGAGTGGTTATCCTCATCAGGTGTGCGTTGTTGGTAGGGCACCTGTAGGGGGTCAGAAGATGACACCCCAAAACGTGCCACTTTGGCCTAAGGATGATTTTAAGCTGAAGATAAGTGAAACAGCAGATGCCAAAGGACCTCTGTTTTGTACCGGGAGGGGCCAAAGGAATGGAACCACAGGAGACTCTTAACAGAATCTACAGAACAAACCTCCCTCACAGCCTTGTCTTCCATTTCTCTCTCCACACACTCATTTCCCCACAGGCCGCCACTCCCAAAGCCCACACTTCGTTTCCTTTGTCTTGCCACTTCGCTAAGGACTTATTATTTAAGATGCTAATTATATAAGCCCGAGTTCCAACCACCCCTTGGAGTTACTCCTCACTGATTTTCTCCCAGTTGTGTGACTAACCCCTTGTTAACCTTTGCTTTTTGTCCTGTTACTCTGTCTTTTGTCAATTTAATTCTCAGGGTCCAAGCCACAGCACTAAGGAGAGAAATTTATTTTTTCTACCCAACACAGTCATTGTAGTTATAACAAACATTTGTGGAAGCTCCAACTATATTCTTTGGTTGTAGTGCCAAGGCCAAGGCCAAGGCCAAGGCCAAGGCCAAGGCCAAGGCTGGGACTGGAAATCTTGGGAGATAATCAGAAGCAATACTGTGCCTCGAAGGCCAGTCCTTCTGACCCCCATCCTGACTGATATTCTACATATTAGGACCGAAGCTGAGGAAATTTTAAAAAAGCACATCATTGCAAACAGGATTATACTGGCCTTAGATTTTTTTATTCCTGTATCTCATTATTCTAAAGTTATTTGACTTTTGTATTGTGTTAGGCCTGTTGACCCTGATTCATAAGACACCATGACTCCGGTTAGATTTGTAAGATTATCAAACTAACTTATAGACTCTCTGAGTATCTGGTTTGCTCACCATTTTTCTGACCAGCTCCTAAAATAGGGTTCTTAGAAAGGGGGGGAAAATCTTTTTCCTATCCTCTAAAGTCCAATGGCTGGGGCTTGTGAATTAAAAAGTCAGATTCACTGGAGAAAAAGTTTATTTTTGCTTGCTTATAGGATAGTGGTTCTCAACCTTTCTAATGCCACGGCCCTTTAATACAGGTCCTCATGTTGCGGTGACCGACCCCCAGCCATAAAATTATTTTCGTGGTTACTTCATAACTGTAATTTTGCTACTGTTATGAGTTGTAATGTAAATAATCTGTGTTTTCCGATGGTCTTAGGCTCTACAGCAGTGGTCACCTAAGACCATCAGAAAACAGAGATATTTACATTACAATTCATAACAGTAGCAAGATTACGGTTATGAAGTAACCACGAAACTAATTTTATGGTTGGGGGTCACCACCACATGTATTAAAGGGTTGCGGCATTAGAAAGGTTGAGAACCACTGATAGAGGTAATTGGCTCATTTAGTGGACAAAGGTTTATGTTCCTAATTTAGTAGGAAAAAGGGAAGAAGGGGGGGGGGCACACAGGCTTCTTATGGGATGAAAACAGGTTTCTTGAGGATTTTTAGGAGCACGGACAGGAGGTAGTAAAGTGGGAATGTTTGTCTAATAGGCACGTGTGGTCTTTCCGTCTTTAGGATCATAAACTCCCAGGAGAAGGGAGTGCAGTGGGTCTGTGCTCCCCTTCTGGGAGAAGAAGAATTATGGCAGCCCCCGGGCCCACAATCGCTGCTCTGAGGCGCTGCTTTCCCTTCATCTGTTGAATCTCAAATGTCTTCAGCTTAAAATAATCTTTCTGCCAAGTGACTGTTTTGGGCTGCCGTATTCAGATCTCCTTTGACCAGAAGAGGCAGCAGTTCCCACTTACTTACTTCAGGGTCTCATTCTGAACACACGATCCTCATTTCTGTTGGTACCTGTATCTGTGTAGCCGCCCTTGACCCTGAGTCCCTCACAAGATTAAAATGTAATGAGGACCGTCAAACCTCAGAGGGAAGGCAGGGGACGGTGGGGACGAGGGGGAGAGATCAACCAAAGGACTTGTATGCATGCATATAAGCCTAACCAATGGACACAAACCCCAGGGGGATGAGGGCATGGCGGGGGGGGGGGGGGGGGAGATGAGGTCAGTAATGGGGAAATAAGGACACATATATAACACCGTAATCAATAAAGAAATTAAAAAAAAATGTAATGGGGGAGCCCAGTGGGTGTGGCTCAGGGTTGAGCATCAATCTATGGACCAGGAGGTCAGGGTTCGATTCCCAGTCAGGGCACATCCCCAGCGTGGGGTGTGCAGGAGGCAGCTGATCCATGATGCTCTCTTATTATTGATTTTTCTCTCTCTCTCTCCCTCTTCCTTCCTCTCTGAAATCAAGATAAAAAAATACTACAGAAATGTAATGGGAAGACACACCAGGTACCGAGAAAGAACCACGTACGAGAGGACACTTCACTGTGGGGCTGCGCACCGGGCCTTAGGGCGATGGCTTTTTCCAGAAACTGTCACGAGGCTCGGGACGGCCAAGTTCCTTTGTTTCCACCTGAGGGGCTGGGCGTGGGCCTGGGAGGCCCGGCACACTTCCTCCATAACAGCTCGGAGCCGACGCTCACAGGAAACTGATTCACTCCTCCAGGTGGCCCCCGGCCAGGGCTCTGCACCCCAAGGACTCCCTTGTTTTCCTTCCACAAAGAGCCCGTTCTTGTGCGTGTGGAGGTGCCGGAGGGAACCGGCTGCACCAGTCCCTGGCCGTGCCAGAGGCCACAGGGCGCGAGGTTGGCTGGGCTGCGTCCTGGGCGGTGGCAGGGCCTGGCAGCCTGCGGCCCGTGCTGGAGGAGGACGGCCGCCCCGACAGTCTGGGCTCTGCGGGACTCGGAAAGGCCCCGGGGAGGAGCGGGCCCTGCAGGCTGAGCCGAGCTGAGGTCCGTGCGGCCCCGGGCCCTGGCATTCCTGGGCCGGACTTCCTGGGCTGCCGCCGGGGGGGGGCTGGCTAATGATTACCAGGAAACATGCTGGCACGCCCGCACCTTCGGGGAGCCGGGGCCCGCGGCTGGCGGAGGCTGCCTCTGCGTCCAGGGCCTGGCCGGTGACGTGACAGCCCTTCGGTGAGGAACTTCCTGCTCAGGGCCGGGCCGGGTCAGGGTTCTCTGCGGCTGATTGAATCGTTCCTGTGTTTGTGCGGAGAGAGGACGGGGGCCAGGACGGCCGCGGGAGCCTGGAGGGGAGATCCACCTGCGGAGGTGAGGCGGCCGTGGGGTCCAGGGCAGGTGCAGCGGCCTGGCTCAGGCGCTGGGCCCTCCAGGCGGCAGGACCAGCTGTTCTGCCAGGGACAGTGCTGGGCGATCCGAACCTGTCCTGGCTCCCTCTCCCTCGGAGTTAAACATTGAAAGGCGGCGGCTCTGAGGGTGAAGGAATTTGAGACGATGTCTAATCAAGAGGGCGTCCCTGCCCCAGCTCGGCTTGCAGGGATGTGCTGAGAGAGAGCGGGGGCCAGGGCCGGGGAGGTCCCCGGAAAATTACCGTGACTCCCGTGTGCCCACACACACGCCCTGGCGTTTGATGAAGGGCCTGTGGGCAGGAGACGTGCAGTTGTGAAGCTGCCCTCGGTCTGCCAGGCGTGTGTGGTCTTTCCGGCTTCGGGATCACAAAAGGAATTAGGCTGCTCCAAGGGCTGTGACACCTCTGGGGAAAACATCTGCCCAAACCCAGGAGCCTCAGCACCCCCAGTGCGGGGCACGCAGAGCCAGGGGGACTGGGGTCCAGGGGCGTGGGCACCCTCTCGCAGGCACGGTGGTTTGCACCAAGCCATTTAGTTCTCACGCACCAAGCAAAGCGCTTCGTCCTTCCGGGGCGCGAGGCTGCTGCTGGCAGAGAGGGACTTTGGGTGTTCTGGTAGCAGGCTCTGGCCGAGGGCCCGGGGGTAGGCGTTTGGGGGTGGGGCGGTGAAGGGACAGGGTCAGATTCGGCAGGTTTCTTCCTGAGGGCCTCTCTGGGGGCGTCCGATGGTTGGAGTGTTCGGGACTCCTTGGGGCTTTCGGGAATGGGTTGGGGGTTAAATCCTGCCTATTGAGTACAATCTAATGAGCTTTAAGACTTCCAAGAAGACTTTGAAAAATTTCCACTAAAGGCAGGTAATTCAAGTCTTCCCCAGTGAGATGAATGAGAACTTAAAATCCAGGGGCCGTCAAACTGCTCCACAGAGATAGTAACATGCAATGACTGGGCACCGGTCTCCGAGCACTGAGGCTGGTCTGGTTTCAGTTTACACTGGAATCAGCTTTATGACAGGCCCTCCTGCCACACCCTCTGACCTAACCCGCGTTTCACTGTCTCACACACCCTCACAGACCCTCGTCTGTGCTCTCCCGACCCAACACCCCGTCCTGGCTCTGCCCGGCTCCTCCGAAGGGGAGCCCTGGACAGAGAACGTGGGGCGGTGGCGGGCGAGGCACTGATAAGCTGTCATCGTTCCCGTGGGCGGCCTGACCGCTGATCAGTGACGGGAGCGTTTGCCGGTGACCTCTCGCTGTGGCCTGGGCTTCGGGGCGCGGGGTGCACTGCGCGTCTATGCTCTGGGGAGGCTGTGCGACCTGCGGGCCCGGGCTGGGTTTCTCCCTCTCCCTCTTCCTCTGCGCGGCCCAGCATTCTATAATATAATAGATGGTTGGTGCTGATGGCCGTGGGAGGTGCGCTCGCTGAAACTGGCAACAGGTGCTTTGGTTGGGTTGTTGAGCCGGCCTCCAGGGCTGCAGTTTGGCTTGCTGTGCGCACAGCTGCTGCCAGGCGAAGTGTCGGGGGGTGGGTTTTTGCTGAATCCAGTTCAGATCACGGCAAGGGGCGAGTTCCACACGGGAAGCTCCAGCCCAGACACTGAGCCTCATGCCCCGACAGGAGAGGTTAAGGTCATGCACCTTCTGACACCTGCTTCCCAGAGACGTCAGAAATGGGGCGGAAGCCTGTGCTCTTTTCATGGGCTGTGACTACCCAGCACCACGCTCACATGTAACATACGGACCCATGTTCCTTCTCACAGGCTGTGACTACCCAGCACCACACATACATGTAGCATGTGGTCTATGTTACTTATCATGGGCTGTGACTACCCAGCACCACACATACATGTAGCATATGGTCTATGTTACTTCTCATCGGCTGTGACTACCCAGCACCAAACATACATGCAGCATGTGGTCTCATGTTCCTTCTCATGGGCTGTGACTACCCAGCACCACACACACATGTAGCATGTGATCCCATGTTTCTCCTCATGGGCGGTGGCTACCCAGCACCACACATACAGGTAGCATGTGGTCCCATGTTCCTTCTCATGGGCTGTGACTACCCAGCACCACACATACATGTAGCATGTGGTCCCATGTTCCTTTTTATGTGCTGTGGCTACCCAGGATCACATATACATGTAGCACGTGGTCCCATGTTCCTTCTCATGGGCTGTGACTACACAGTACAACACGCACGTGTGACACGTGGTCACGGCCTGAGTGTCGCTGCTGCTGTCTCACTCAGCGCCGTGAGGGAGGCATGTTCCCCCGGTGCCAGGGTGCCAGTTCAGGGCTTGTATTTCTGCCGTGAGCCTGTCCCCTCGGCCTGTAAGGAACGGGACCGGAGCCCTGGCCGGGGTGTCGCACACGCAAAAGTCCCCACGGGGCTCTGCTGGAGCCGCCCCCCATGTCCTCGGGGACGTGTGGCTGCCCAGCACAGCGGTGAGATCGGGGTGAGCCCCGGGGCCCTGCTCCACCTGGAGCGGGTGGAGGAACGTGCCGCGGAGACTTTCCCGGGTTCCGGGGAGTGGCTCTGGTCTTGTTGATTTGTAGACAGTTCGTGACATGTCCGGGGGTGATGTGGCCCTGCCTGCCTCCGGGAGACCCAGCAGTGCTGGTGGCTGCCTTGGGCAGGCCCGTCGTGGGGAGAAGGGAAGAATGAGGAGAAGCAGATGCAGCGATGGTGGGTGGGCAAGAGCAAAGGGCTGGGAGGGAGGGCCGAGAGGTGCACGTGGCGGATCCCCGCATGCTGCCGGGGGGGAAGACCTCACTCTGTCGCCTCTTGACCTCTGACTTCTCCCCTTTCCCCCCTCCCCTGCCCCAGCCCCAGCCCCAGCGCCCTCGCTGCAGTTCCTCCAGTGTGCCCGTCACCACCCACCCCAGTTCCTCCAGTGTGCCCGTCACCACCCACCCCAGGGCCTTGGCACCTGCTGCTTCTCTGCCCGGGAAGCTCCTGTGAGGTTCCCCCGGGGTGGGCCTCCCTGAGGGACGTGCTGGCCAGCCCACCCCGCACTCCTCCCGCACACACACCCCTCTTGTGTGTCTCTGCGCCGCCTGCTGCCTTCCCACAGGCTTCTGGTCTGCTCTCCCTCCTGCCCCTGCTTCCCCTTTGGGTCATGAAAACGGGTCGTGCGCAGGCATTTCCTCGCTCAGTGACCCAAGCGTCCTGGTTGCAGCCAATTGCTGTAAGTCCAGGCTGTCACACCGCGGTCAGCAGCTCAGTGGCCAGGTGTCCCAGGGCCCCCCGAAATGCATCCTGGGCCTGGGGTAAGGTCACGGACACAGGGGTCCTCAGACTTGAGCACAGGCCGGAGAAGGACGTTGCTTAGGCTGCGGGCTCAGCGCTGGCGTCGCCGGCCTGGCGGGTGTGGGGTGGCCCCATGCGCCTGGCTTTCTAACAAGGTCGTGGGTGAGGCCGGTCCACGGGCCACCCCAGGAGTGCTGACCCCTGCGTCCTCGGACCCGGGGCTGGCCGGGCTCTGCGCGCGCAGCCTGTCCCCGCTCCCGCTCACCTGCCTGCCTGCTTCTCCCCCAGGTGAGGAGATGCCAGGATGGACGGCAGCTGCAAAGGGGTCCTGGCCGCGCTGGTCGTGGTGGCTGGCCTAGCAGGTAGGTCACGCGAGTGTGGCGGGCGGTCCCACGGCTCCCACATGGAGGGGGAACCCGGGGAGGCCCCGGCGCTGGCAGGTGTGGCTGCCGGGGTTGTTTCTGGGCCCCTCCCACCACGCCCCTTCCCTCTTGGGGGGGCCTCCGGGGGGGCACTTCCTGCTGCACTGACTCAGCTCCTGGGCAGTTCTCTTCATTGGGTTCACCTCCTGGCATGTGCCCCCGGGACCGCTCCACGGCCATCGCTCCTGGGAGATGTCCCCCATCTGGTGTTTCTGTCTGGACTTCTCCCAGGGGAGGTGGGAGGGGCCCAGGGGCGTCAGACTGACTCGCAGAGCTGAGGTGTGCGGACCTCGGGGTCTCAGAGCAGGTGGGGTTGCGGCCCCCCCGCCCCCCCGTCCCCGCCCCAGCTCTGCTGGGGCTCCGCTGGTGGACAGGCCGTCGCTCAGGTGTGCTGGTCTTGTTTCTGGTGGAGTTTTCTCTCCTGGGGGAGGTGGGAATTTGCTGTCCTCGGGGGTGGCGTGCTATGCTCCGTATGCAGGGGATTTGAGGCCTGGAGGTGGAGAATTTAACCCGGGGACCTGCATAGTCACGGACACCCAACTGGATGAGTCTTCCAGCCCTCCCACTCCCCAAAGTGACCACTGTCCTAATGTCTAACTGCAGAGTATGTCCTGCTGGTTTTGGACTTATATGCATCCTAGAGGTCTGGTGCATGAACACTTGTGCACTGTGGGGGCGGGGCGGGGGGGACAGGGTGGGGCGGGGAGGGGGGAAGAGGGGGGAAGAAGAAGGGCCTCAGCCAGCCTGCCCCCTCTCACAGTCCAGGAGCCCTCAGGGGATGTCCTACTGACAGCTTAGGCCCATTTCTGCAGGAGGTGACTGGCCCATCTGGGAAGGCACCCCCCATCACCCCCCCCACCCCCTCCGCTGCTGCCTCTGGCCTCCCTCTGCGGGAGGCGACCCGCTGACCAGGGGAAGGTGAGGCCCCCATTGCGCTGCTGCTGCTGCTCCTGCCGGCCGCTGCGGATGCCTGAGCCCTGGCCGGGCCCTCACAGCAGCAGCAGCAGCCACAGCGGCTTTGTCCGGAAGGCGTCCTGAAGACGTCCAGTCTAATTGGCATGTTACCCTTTTATTAGTGTAAATGAACTCTGTTTCAGATGGCTAGATAAGTTGCTTTTTAAAAAAAAATATATTTTTATCGAATTCAGAGAGGAAGAGAAAGGGAGAGAGAGGAACATCAATGACAGAGAGCGAATCATGGATCGACTGTCTCCTACATGCCCCCTACTGGGGATGGAGACTGCAACCCAGGCACATGCCATTGACTGGAATCGAACCTGGGACTCTTTAGTCCACAGGCCGACACTATCCATTGAGCCAAATGGGCTAGGGTCGGTGGGGTGGGGGAGGAAGGGTAGGAGGGAGAGAGAGAGAGAGAGGAAAAGAAAGAGAGAGAAAGAGAGAAGGGAGAGCAAGGGGTGGGGGAGAGGGTGAGGGGCAGGCTGGGAAGGGTTTGGGGAATCTGAGAGTGCCAGCACGAATCAGTATATTGCATAGGATAGAATAAGTCCCTGGGGGTAGGGGAGGACCTGGTGTTGGGTGACCACTGTGGCTAGCGCAAGGAGGCACCTGGGAGGGGGGCATTGATGGTCCCCATGGCTCTCCCCTCCCTTGCCCTTTTGCTCCACTCAGGGAAAGGGAGCAAAGGGGAGGGAGCTGTGTGCTGAGGCAGGTGACTTTGATTAAAGGTCTTATTTATAGTTTGCTCATATTTGCTCTGGGTGGGACGGGGTCACGCACACCACCAGCTGATGGGGTGCAGGAGAGAGGAACGCGGCCCCAGGACCCCGCTCTTCCAGAAGGGCGGCTTCTGAGTCACGAGGGGGAGCTGGAGGGCGTTACCTGTGGTGGGAGCCCAGAGGCGGGCCTGCGTGGCCAGGGCAACTCTGTGCTTAAGGTCTGTCACCTCCTGTTTAACTTAAGGGTCAAGTTCAAACTCGGGGAGTTCCCATTTGGTGCAGGCCCTCCCCGCTCCCTCTCCCCCCCCTCACCTCCCTAGCTGCAGAGGAAGCTAGGCCGCCTTGGGCCTTCTTGGTCACAGGTGCAGCCGGCAGGGCACTTGAGGGCTGTGGAGGTCCCCGTGTGTGGAGTGAAAGGTTCAGCCTGGCACCAGCGGGAGAGGATCCCAGCTGAGCTGCTATTTAAGTCACATTTTCTCTTGCTCTCCTGCCCGGAGGTACAGCAAAGAACAGGGAACAGCGCCAGGTCACCCAGCACAGGAGCAGCCCTAGTTATAGTACCGTTCACCTCCACTCAGTGAGGTCCCACCCCGGCCCTGGCTGCCGCCCCAACCCGTCCTGTTGGCCTCAGACCCTGTCTGGGCAGTGGTTCATTGTCTGCCCTTGACCCATTCCTGTGGTGCATCCCCGCAGTGCATTCTGGGAATGCAGGCGAAGTGTTGCTGTGTCAGTGGGTGCCCAGCGGTGTGCTTTCCTCCCAGAAACCTTTAGGGCTGTCAGGAGATTCTTTTAGAATCGCCTTACAGCTGGTGCTGGGAGGGCAGGATGGTGGGAAAGGTGTGATGGAAGCAGCGCTACTTGAGTCTCTGATTTTCTTGGCTCATCTTGTGGGTCCACGTGACCCCGGCTTGCAGGTCATGTGACAGTGACTGCCCACTGAGTGACTGCGGGTGATGTGAAGGGTTTACACGGATCATCCTATTTGGTCCTTGACATAAGTCCCAGAGGCACTAGCGTCCCTGTTTTGCCCCTGAGGAGCGTGGGGTGTGGAGGTGACTGTCGGGTGAGGCGGCTGTTCATTCTGGAGTCTGTGGTCCCCCACTCCAGAGTGTGGGGTTTTAAACTCAACTAGATGCGAGGAGGCTTTCTGAGGGGCTGCCCCATGCACACAGGGGCGTTCTCATGAGGGCATCTAACTCCCTCACCTTTCTACCCATTATCCCTCTCTGTCTCGTCTAGTCCTTAGGAGGAGGAGAGGCCCCAGTGACTACCATCTTGTTGATACTTCAAGATGAATTTCCCATGACAGTGTATGCACGACCCAAATTTCATCTCCAGCTGTATTCCTCCCTTCAAAACCTTGTCCATCCTCTAGCCACTGTGTGTGTGTGTGTGTGTGTGGGGTGTCTCAGCGTGCAGGGGAAGGCATGAGCCATGATCACAGCATGTGAGGGTCCCCATCCTCTTTGTGAAGATGAGGTACCCCACTGTCCCCTCACAGCCCTGGGAGAAGGTCCCCCTCATTTCACCGAGAGGGAAAATGCTCATTTCACAGTGAGGCTGAACAACTTCCTACAGCGACAGAGCGGGGCTAGTGGTGGCTCCCTGGGCCACGCTGGGGTCAGATACCTGCGGTCACATCTGCAGGAAGAGGAGGAGGGGCAGTGCTCCCTCACTGCCAACCCAGCTGGGGTGCTGAGGACTGTGGAGCGAGGAGAGGGCCGTGGGAAGGAGGGACGGAGTGGCATCCTGTCTGCTGGGAGCTCCTGATCGTCCGGGGAGACCTGGAGTTGGGGCCAGGAAGACCTGGGATCTGAGCCCTAGGACAGTCACGCAGGGCTCACAACCTGTGTGCAGAAGGGTTGCACTCTACAGCTGGTCTGTGTCGATGCATCCCTTACTTGAAGCCCGGGTGTCTTTTAGCCTTTGGATCCGGCTACCAGATCATAGAAGGGCCCAAGAACGCCACCGTGCGGGCGGGCCAGGAGGCCCGCTTCAACTGCACCGTCTCCCAGGGCTGGAGCCTCCTCATGTGGGCCCTGAACGGCACGGTGGTCCTGAGCATCACGCCCACGCAGGTCATCATCACCAGCAACCGCTTCACCTCGGAGAACTACACGGAGGGCGGCGACTTCACCTCCGAGATGATCATCCACGACGTGCAGCTCAGCGACGCGGGGCGCATCAAGTGCAGCCTCCAGAACAGTGGCCGCGAGGGCTTCGCCTTCCTTTCCGTCCAAGGTGCGCCTGCGTGCGGGGGACTCAGAGGCGCGCGGGGCGTTCCTTGGGTTCAGTGTCGGAGAAGGGGAAGGGACCTGCTGAAGGGCATGCCATAGGTGGTGACCGACGAGGCACCGAGTGCTTTGGTGGTGTGACACTGAGTGCTCTGAACCGATGAATGTGTTCTCATATTTGTCACTTCCCTCCCCTCTCCCTTTCTCTTTCTGTTGTTGTTGTTAATCCTCACTGAGGATATTTTCCCATTGGTTTTTAGAGAGAGTGGAAGGGAGAGGGAGAGTCAGAGAGAAACATCGATGTGAGACACATCGGTTGGTTTTCTCCTGCACGATATGTGCCCTTGACCAGAATAGAACCTGGGACTCTTCAATCTGTGGGTGATGCTCTATCCATTGATCCAATCTGCTATGGCCCCCTTTAATATATCTATATCTATATCTATATATATATATATATATATATATATATATATATATATGTAAATATATAGTTAGTCATCAGTTAGTGTTACCCTGAGAATTCTTTTGACCTGATGAGTGTTTGTTGTTGTGTTGTTTATTTCTCTCCTGCCTTCCTCACGGCTTCTCTACTTTCTTCCTTTCTGTTTGTCTCCTTCTCTTCCTTCCATCTCTTCTTCCCGTTTCTATGATTAAGACTTTTTTTTCATTAAAAAAAATGTTTTATTGATTTTTGTACAGAGAGGAAGGGAGAGAGATAGAGAGCTAGAAACATAGATGAGAGAGAGTCATCGATCAGCTGCCTCTTGCACACCCCCTACTGGGGATGTGCCCGCAACCAAGGTACATGCCCTTGACTGGAATCGAACCCAGGTCCCTTCAGTCCCCAAGCCGATGCTCTATCCATTGAGCCAAACCGGTTTCGGCTGATTAAGACTCTTAAAGAAGGTTTTGTCACTTCCCATCTCATCCATGTTGGTACCTACTAGCTTTTCTGGAATTATATCCTGTAGGTCTTCTGGGGCCAGGTGGTCCCTTGTCTGTGAGGTAGAGTGAGGTGGCAATCATTGCCTGACTCCAGTCTTTCATATGCTTAGCCCCTATTTCTTTGCCTACATCATTATTTTTTACTTTCCCCCTCTTTGACACCTTTATCAATTTTGAATCATGCTTAACTTTTTCCTTTTTCTAGCTTAATTCCCCAATTTATTGCCCCTCTTCACCCCCAGTGGTTTTTATAGATAAAGGTGTGTCAAGGATTTTAGAGAAAAAAGAGAAAACAAAATTTATAATAATGGATAACTTAATTTTTTAAAGAGGTACTTCCAGTGCCTCTTAAAATTTTTTTATTGGTTTCAGAGAGGAAGGGAGAGGGAGAGATAATAACATCAATGATGAGAGAGAATCATTGATCATCTGCCTCCTGCCACGCCCCCTACTGGGGATTGAGTCCACAACCTGGGCATGTGGCCTTGATTGGAATTGAACCCAGGACTCTTCAGTCCACAGGCTGACGCTCTATCCACTGAGCCAAACCACTAGGGTGGTAACTTAATGTTTATCTTCAAAGTTAATTTCTAGGTACTGAAGATCATGCTCCATAGTGAAAAATAAAAAAAGATGATTTATAAGGATTCGGAACATATTTATCAAAGTTTAATCCCTTTATATTCTTTAAAAATGCAATTCTATACTCTTTCTAGATGCACTGGAGCCAGCAGCGTCAACTTTCTATGGCAGCATTTTTTAACAACAGACCACATTGTGTCTGACATTTTTCTTATGTTTCCTGGTATTTATTTGCTTGTCAGGGAGAAACTCACAAAGATTTGGTCTGCACTGATGCTGCTATCAAATCAAATGGGGAACATTTGGTGCAGATACATGTTTACCTATTTCTACTTGCATTTTTAAATTTAGCCAAACTGTGGTCTCTTTGTGTGACTTTAATTTCATGTGGTTTAATTAGGGGCACACTGATATTTTGTCATTTTGTGGCATTTGTTGACTCAGTGAGGGTACTGGATGCCCAGACTACTTTGCATGACCAGATTCTCATTACAGTACTTTGTGGTATAAGAGAAAGAACACTGAGAAGGAATCAAAGATACAGGTTCTGGTGTTTCTTCCATCAGTTACCCACCCTAGTGACTGCTGAATTGGCTCAATTTCTTCACCTTTAAAATTGGGACAGGACTCTGCCCACTTCGCAAGTTGACTGTGAGGATCAGAGGATGGAATAATGGGACAGTCTGAAGACTCCAGAACCAGGGTGGGCTAGTGGTCAGCAGTGCAGACTCGGGTGCCCCATTGCCAGGTTCAAGTTGCAGCTTTATTACCCATTAGCTGTGGGACCGTGGGCATGCCACTTCGTGACCTGGTGCCTTAGTTTCCTCATCATAAGGATGTTGTGAGATCAGATGAGGATCGTCTATGTAAAGTCTTTAGAACAGCAACAGGCTCATTGCAATCTCCAGATAGTCATTCGCTATTACTTTTATTACTAGAAGCCTGAAGATTCATGCAAGAGTGGGCCTTCCTTTCCCTGGCTGCCAGCATCGCCTTTCCATTCTGCCCCAGAGCTGCCTTTCTGCTCTGGCCCCACCTTCCCATGCTGCCCAGAGGCCCTGAGTGGCCGGGGCGGTGCAGAATGCCTGTGTAATTGCCATGGCGACAACACAAGCGTCCTGCCCCATTCTTGGCCAGTTGGTGCCTACATATGCAAATCAAACCCACCATCTTTGTTGGGTTAATTTGCATACCCACTCCTGATTGGCTGGTGGGCGTTGCAAAGGTATGATCAATTTGCATCTTTCTTATTAGTATAGATTATTTTTTTTTAAATGATTCTGAGGATATTTTTTTCCATTAATTTTTAAGGAGATTGGAATAGGGAGGGAAAGACAGAGGGAAACATCAATGTGAGAGAAACACATTGATTAGTTGCCTTTTTCATAAGCTGGCCAGGTAGGATCCTGCAACTAAGGTAGGTGCCCTTAACCAGATTTGAACCCAGGATCCCCTGGCTACAGTCAGATGCTCTATCCACTGATCCATACTGGCTAGGACCATTTGCTATTATTTATTGCATCCCCAGTAGGAGCTTGCCATCATGTTAGACATTTAAGGGGGATTCAGAGGTGAACAGACTAAGTAAGACACAGTCTACCCGCGAGGCCCTTAGGAGAAAAGAGTCTCATGCAAGTGCATGAACCACAGTGGTGCATGCAGACACTGGCAAGTACATTGGCGGGGAGATAACTCATGTTTGAATTGGGAAGGAGGTGAGAGAATTGGTAGTCTTCAAGGAGGACTTGAAGGGGCCATTGGTGATGTGCCTCAAAGGTCTGGAGATGCAACATGGGGACAAGAGAGAGAAGGGAGCACTCCTGGGTCAAGGAAACAGGACCAAGAAGTGACCTATTACTACTGTGTGTTTGGCATATCCAATGCATATGTCTATGTGGATTTATAGCATCTCTTCTCAAAGCTGTACATCTATAAAGTGTCTTCAGGCATGCAGTTTTACAAGTTAATAATTACTGTAGCTTTTAGTTTGAAAACAAATAGAAGAATGAGTGTCTTGGGAAGTTAAAGTCTTCCCCTCTGACCCCGTAGAATAGAACTGAACTTGTTCCTTTGAGCCTGGTTCCACTGGTCTGAATGGTACCTTCTTCTCAGAGGGATAATGCTCTGTGAGAACAGGGTCTCTTTCAAGAATTTTGATAAAAAGAGGAAGCATCCAATTTATCTTGAAAGTAAGTTATCTAACGTTATCATGTTGTTCTCTTCAAGTATCAACATATATAACTTCATATCGAGTCATGCAAACATCTATGTAAAATGTTCTATCACCTTCTATAAAAGGTCATGAAAGCCAATGGGAAAGTTGAGTCACAAATATACACAGAAAAAGCAAATGCTTTCTTCAGATACTGCATTTGCCCAGTCCACCCATTCATCACACACCACACTCTAGACCTCTTATGTTTTGAGGGCCAATTTCTTCTGTTATTAACTAACTGAGCCAGTACCGTTTCTCCTGGTCTCTGCCAACCTACACTTCTCCACCGAATGAAGCAATGAACAAGTCAAAAAGAACAAAGACAAACCCTTTCGCCTTGAGGGACCCATCCGGTGCCCTCTCACTGCTACATGTACAGTAGTCCTATCACTAGCAAAGGTGCTCTACTTGCTCCAAGGGACTATTCAGGAAAGAAGAGTCCAGGAATGAAACATTTTTGAGTCCTCAGATGGAGCTTTCAGAGCAGATCCAGTTCAGTCTTTTCTGGGACCGCCTGGTGTCTCCCAGGCTCTTTGGGGTGGTCTGCGAAGTCACAAGTGTCTTCATAACAATACTATCAATATCTATCTATCTATCTATCTATCTATCTATCTATCTATCTATCATCTCTCATCTCTCATCTATCTACCTATTATCTACCATTTCTCATCTATCTATCTCAGTGTTATTCAACCTTTTTTGGGCAAAGGCACACTTGTTTCATGAAAAAAATCACGAGGCACACCACCATTAGAAAATGTTAAAAAATTTAACTCTGTGCCTATATTTGGTGGCACGCCCACTCTCCTTCTCGGGTGTGGACAAGGACTTCTCGACTGCACGCTGGGGAGGGTTGTGTAACTCAGAGGACCTGCGGTTTCCAAGGGCAAAGGGAGCCATTCAAAGGGCCAGACGGACAGTAGATTTTAACATCACAGACCAGGGGGTTCTTTATAGTTTCAGATTCCACAGCGCAGCTGACCGTCCAGAAGCCACTAGTTGTCAAGTTTGGGTGCAGTATCAGAGAATGCCCATGGTTATCTGGAAAGCCTAGGCATGCTCCTCATTGCTTCAGCACATCTCTGTGAAGTCAGATTTTCTTTGTAAAATGCAAACAAAGCAATCTATCACAACAGATGATGAGAGTCCATCCAGAGACTGAGAGAGCTGCATAAACATAAAACAGTACCACTCTTCTTGCTCAATTATTTCGGTTAAAGATGTAGGCATTTTTAATAAAAATATATTGATCTCTATGAACATGTCAGGGGTTATTATTATTATTTTTGAATATTGAAAAATAAACACAGCCCTGACTGGTTTGGCTCAGTGGATAGTGGTTGGCCTGTGGACTGAGGGGTCCCAGGTTCAGTTCTGGTCAAGGGCATGTACCTTGGTTGCGGGTGCATCCCCAGTAGGGGGTGTGCAGGAGGCAGCTGATTGATGTTTCTCTCTCATTGATGTTTTTAGCTCTCTGTCCCTCTCCCTTCCTCTCTGTAAAAAATCAATAAAATATATTAACAAAAGAAAAATAAACACATGTTTAATTCTAATTTCCATCGTGGTAAGTCTTGATAGATATAATCCATATAAACAAAGGTCTTTGGAGTGCTTAAGGATCTGTAGGAGTGTTTAAGGTACGAAAGCCATAAGGATGGAAACCACTAATCTAGTCAAGTCATCTCACTCAACAGGCAGAAAACAGCCTGGAAATCTCAGTGACTTGCACGAGGCAATGCCAACATCGTGGCAAAGTCAGGATTGTGGGCAGAGGTTTTGATTCTTAGTCCAATGTTCTTTCCCTTATATTATGTGGCTGGGAGTTTTGACTATTTAATTGGAACATTTCATTGCATTTATGTTTCAGTAAGGCTGTCTCTACTGGGTTGACCTCTGGTGATTTTGGTGAAATTGGCACACACCAGGGTTACCTTCAGATGGGTTATTTAGCATTGACACTGGCACATGAGAGTGTCTATAGAACTTTAAAAAACTTATCTGATAAAAATGTATCTGAGCAATATATTCTGATTGTGATTGAGGGTAGTTATTTCTTTAATTCTGTTGGATTTAATGTTTAAGTAGAAAAATATCTTAAGACCTATCATAGGAAGTTATATTTAAAAAGATGGACTGCCTCTTTCCCGCCCCCTCAAAGAGAGAGAGAGAGAGAGAGAGAGAGAGAGAGAGAGAGAGAGAGAGAGAATCTGACTGATCATGATGTGTCCACCTTACAATGAAAAGAAAGTAAAGGTTATTTCCCTTTTTGCTTTGGCTCCCAGGCAGCTCAGGACAACTTTAGTGACTGTCCAGCCCCCATGGCAGCCACCTCTGTCCTCTCTTTTCTGTATAATTTAGACTGTTTTGGGCCTTGATTTTTATTAATTTCTCTGGAATTTTATTTCTGGGGAGCAATCTCACTTTCTTCTGTGGGTCTGGAAATCCCAAAGAAAGACACAGATAGAAGCTGCATAAAGATTTCCCACTGTGGCCATGGCCATGGCCACGGCCATAGCCACGGCCACTCTGGCTTCAGGGGTAGTACTCCTGCAATGGGATTGGAGGAGAACTGAAAGCAGACCTAGCACGGAGAGGTGAGGCCATCGCTTCAGAATGTTTCTCTTTTCTCCTTTAGTTGTGGGGGAATTGCTCGTTCCCACTGACAGTCTTGTAGTCATTGAGGATGAACCTTGTAATGTGACTTGCCGCGCGAGGGGCTGGATCCCGCTCCCAGAACTTTCCTGGGAGATTGGTGTTCCCGTGAGCGATTCAAGCTTTCACTCCGTTCCGGTGCCGGATGACTCTACAAGTGTCCTGAGCATCCTGGCTCTGACGCCGAGAGGCAGTGGGAATCTGACTTGCGTGGCTAAGATGAAGGGGCTGCAGGACCGCGATTCTCGCACGATAAACCTTACTGTGGCTCCGCCTCACGTGGGTAAGTGAAGACTCTTTGCTTTATGTGAAGCAGGAAGCAGGTTATTATTGCATAGTTATGTTTTATACTAGAGGCCTGGTGCATGAAATTCATGCACAGGGGGAGGGATGTCCCTCAGCCCAGCCCCCACCCTCTGCAATCTGGGATCTCTTAAGGGATGTCCGACCGCCTGTTTAGGTCCGATCCTGATCCTGGTTGGTTAGACATCCCTCTCACAATCCAGGACTGCTGGCTCCCAACTGCTCTCCTGCCTCTGCCTGATTGCTCCTAACTGCTTCTGCCTGCCAGCCTGATCACCCCCTAAATACTCCCCTGCCAGCCTGATTGATGCCTAACTGCCCTCCTTTGCAGGCCCGATACCCCCAACTGTCCTCTTCTGCAGGCTGGACTCCCCCCAACTGTCCTCTAATGCAGGCCTGATTCCCCCTAATTGCCCCCCAATACAGTCCTGGTCCTCCCCGCAACTGCTCTTCCTGAAGGCCTGGCCCCCCCAACTGCCCTCCCCTGCAGGCCTGATCTCCCCCAATTGTCCTCCTCTGCTGGCCTGGTCATCCCTAACAGCCCTCCCTGCTGGCCTGATCACCCACAACTGCTCTCCCCTGCAGGCCTGGTCCCCCCAACTGTCCTTTCCTGTAGGCCTGGCCTGGACTCCCCAACTGCCCTCCTCTGCTGGTCTGGTCAACCCTTACTGCCTACAACTACCCTTCCTTGCAGTCCTGTCCCCCCCTTCCCTCCCCTGCCAGCCCAATTGCCCCTAACTGCCCTCCTTCCTTGCCTGATCAACCACAACTGCCCTCCCCTGTAGGCCTGGTCACCCCCAACTGTCCTCCTCTGCTGGTCAGATCAACCCTAACTGCCCACAGCTGCCCTCCTTTGCAGACCATCTTGTGGCAGCCACCTTGTGTCCACATGGGGGCCGCTATCTTTGACCACATGGGTGCTACCAACTTGATTCTTGGAGTAATAGTCATTTTGCATATTACTCTTTTATTAGATAGGATGCCCTGCTGCCTAATTTTGATGTTTAGGGATCTTGATTTCTGGTAGGAATGGAGACAATTTACTTAGAGTGTCAGCTTCATGGCCCTGCATGTTACTTGATTTAAAATCCCATCTTTCAAGTATCCACTTACAGATGAAACATCATTAAGAATCTCGACAATTAGTAACATGAAACAGCACCACATTCAGAGATAAATACTTGAATTCCATGTTTTTCTCCAGTTTTTATCTTTATTCCTGTGTTATCCCATTCTGTGCTGTATGAAACAAGCTCTTCTAACATGAGAGGCGGGTGCCCGGTGCTCTGATTCCTCCCAATCTTAGCGGGATTGTAAGGTTTCATCTTTAAAATACTTATTATTGAAAGCATTACCTAGGTCCCCCTTTTCCTCGATTCATCCCTTCTAGCCCCCTACCTCAGGCCTTCACCACCCCTGTGTCCACAGGTTATGCAAATGTGCATACAAGTTCTTTGGTTGATCTCTTCCCACCCTCTCCCCCCACCTCTGCCTTCCCTCTGAGATTCCGCACTGTGGCTCTGGAATAGCTTATATTTAAAAAGCTATAAACAAATGAAATCTTGCTCTGGCTGTCTGGACAGGTGGGGCTAGAGGCAGGTAAAACCAAAAGCAAGGAGGTCCAGGTAGGTATTCTATGCGAGAGGAAATGCCTAAAGCCACGGGGATAATTGCACGAGATATTTAAGGAGCGAGATGTACGGAACTGGTGAGTAAGTGAGTATGGGAAAGAAGAGGAGGAGGAGAATAAGGTGATACCAAGGGTTTCAGGCTTGGTAACTTGCAGACACAGAGAGGGCACTGAAGTTTGGGAGAGAAGGTGTTGAGTGTTGGACAGAGAGTGTTCATGAGGGAGGGGGCCATCCAAGAAGAGATGCCTGCGAAGTAGTTGATTCGCTAGGCCTCAGAGCCCAGGAGAAACATCGGGGAATCTAGGTCATAAGAGAAGCAGCGAGAATGAGCGGAAATTGCCAACGCTGCTCTGTCTGTGGAGAGAGACGTGAACACTCTCATTTTACAGAGAGGAGGGAAAGGGAGGCCCAGAGAGGTGCTGGGCTGTACCAGGTCATCCGGGTGGCCAGGGCTTTTCCAAGCATGAAAACTCCTTCCATTAAGGTCTTTCAAAGTTTAGAACAAAGCTATAGCCAAAGCAAGGTGATGATGGCGATGATGATAGCAATAATAACAATAGTAAACAGCACCACATAGCACTTACCGAGCAAGGACCTGCTTTAAACCTCTCACATATTAACCAGACTCACCTGCACAACCACGCTCTGTGTGCAGGCTGCTATTTCTGTTGTAAAGGAGAGGAGACAGGGACACAGTGTTGTGTGGAGTTTGCCCACGTTCCTAGAGCTAGTAAAAGGGGGGAGGTGACCCTGCCAGTCTGCCTTCAGAATCCGCTCCCCTGTCAGCTCTGCCCTCCCCTGAGTGAGCAGCCACGTGGAGGCTGGAGGAGTAGCTTGAGGCCGAGGAAACCAAGTGTAAGTGGGTAGCTTAAGTAGCAGGAGTGGATTGTCTCACAGTTCTAGAGTCTGGACGTCTGAGGTCAAGGTCTCAGCAGGATTGGTTCCTTCAATAAAATATTTTTATTGGTTTCAGAGAGGAAGGGAGAGAGAGAGATAGAAACATCAGCGATGAGAGAGAATCATTGATCACTGCCTCCTGCACACCCCCTACTGGGGATCAAACCTGAGATCTGGGCATGTGCCCTGACCTGGAATCAAATCTCGATCTCTTGGTTCATAGGTCGACACTCAACCACTGAGCCACACTGGCTGGGCAGGGTTGGAGCATCTGTTCCAGACCTCTCTTCCCCCTAACCCCCTCTTCCCTGCCCTACCTTCTTGTAGTTGCTGGCTATCCTTGGCATTCCTTGGCTTCTAGATGCATCACCCTGATGTCTGCTTTTGTCTTCACGTGGCATTCTCCCTGTGTGCTCGTCTGTGTCCAAATTTCCTTTCTTAATAATAAGGACACCAGTCATATAAGATTAGGGCCCATTCTATGTCCAATTTGACCTCACCGGAACTGAACTGTATCTTCTATACTCTCTTCCCAAAAAAGGTCACATTCTGAAGTACTAGGAGTTAGTACTTTAACATGAATTTGGTGGGCGATTGGAGATTGGGGGGACGGGGAGACACAATTCAGCCTGTAAGAGATGGTGCCCCTGTGAGCTGTGGAAGGCCATTCAGAGCCCAGCCGTGGTCAGCAACGAGTGGCACTGTGTCCTCCAGGGACTGACCCCAGTGCAATCCCACACAAGGTCGCCCGGGCATCGGGCCCTGTCTCTGTCTCCAGCTCAGATGCCAAAGACCAGGCGGCCGACAGAAATGAAAGCATGAGTGAATACAGGTCAGGGAGAAGACAGCAGAGGGGCCGAACAGCACCTCGGGGAGCAGTGGTACCTGCGCCAGCTGGTGTTGCCAATGGGCCTGGGACCAGGGCTGCCAGGTTTGTGACCTGATTCTGGTGCACCTCAGTGAATCTGAGAGCCAAGGACACAGAAGTTGGCATCCCTTTGATCTTTAAGTCAAGGCAAATTAGTTTCAGCTTATAAAATGGAAAGGAACTTAGGCTAGTTCCCAGCAAGACTCTATGAGAAGAGGAAGTTGGAATTCAGCTAGCTTGCTTCTCTCCTTCCAGCTTATTATTTTGAAAATTAAAAAATCCCCAGAAAAGTTGCAAGAACAGGACGGTGAATACCTAGACACAATGAATGTTAACATTTTGCCACACTTGCTTCTTTCTCTCCGCTTTTCTTTCTTTTTCTCTTTTTGCTGAGTGATTTGAGTTAGTTGGAGACTTTGACACTTTACCCCTAAATACCTCAGCATGTGGTTCATGAGAACATGGCCAGTGTATGTATCCCCATTGCAGGGGCAGACAGGAAATTGAACATTGATACAGGACTATTACACAAAGTGTGGTCCATATTCAAATTTCCTCACTTGTCCTTGATAGCTATGTCCCCCCAAACCAATATCCAGTCAAAGGCCAAGCATTGACTGTCAGCTATTCTTAAGTCTCCTTTCATCTTCAACCGTTCACCCACCTTTTTTGTCTTTCCTGATATAAACATGTTTGAAAGGTCATTTTTGGGAGATGCCCTTCAATAGATTTGCCAGAGTTTTTTCCAGCTCACTTTGACTTAGGCTAGACATTTTTGTCAAGATCTGGCTGAAATTGCTGAAACTGGTTTGGCTCAGTGGTAGAGCGTCGGTCTGCGGACTGAAAGGTCCCGGGTTCGATTCTGGTCAAGGGCATGTACATTGGTTGCGGGCACATCCCCAGTAGAGGGTGTGCAAGAGGCAGCTGGTCGATGTTTCTCTCTCGACGCTCTCTGTCTCTCTCCCTTCCTCTCTGTAAAAATCAATAAAACATATTAAAAAAAATTAAAAAAAAAGATATGGCTGAAATTATGTGGGCACATGAGGCCAATTTTCTCTTTCCTTGATAGTGAGTTTGATCCTTTGGTGAAGGTGGAGACCTCAGATTTTTCATTGTAAAGGTGCCTTTAGCCTTTATGATGAGCACACATCTGGGAGACTGTGTGAATTCCTTGGTTCTCGGTATTCTTTCACACGATAGCTTTTACGTTCACCGATAGGTCTCTGCCCGAAGCAGTTGCTGGTTGTGAAAGAGCTGTTTTCCGGTTTCCTCACTTCTCTGTATCTATGAGTTGGCATTCCTCTGTAAATAAAGACTTCCCTTCCTTTTCCTAAAAGAGCTGTAGTGTGGACTCATCTTTATTCATTACATTGTAATTTTGCTCCCAAATTATTTACTCTGACGCTCAGCTTGGCTCTGGCATCCTTCTGTCACGTCCCGATTGGCTTTTGAGCACTTGGCCCCTCAGGATGTTCAACTCCCACCGCCTTCCCCTGTCCTAGCCCTAGCCCTCCCTGTCTCCGACCAGTCACCCCGGCTTGCTTTAAGCTCTTTAATTATCATATAGGGTGGCCTGGGCTTTGAATAGGCAGATTGAAAACAAGTCCCATCAGCACCAAATGGAATGAAATAGACTGTGTCTAAACGACGCATCTTAAAAAAGGAATAATGCAGCCAGAAGCTCCGGTCTGATGGAGGTGCCTGTGGACATGGATTAAGGAGCTGAGATGCCTGCAAAGGTTTCTGTGTGGGGGGCGGGCGAGGGCACTCAGCTCCCCCATCGGCTTTTGTCCAGCTGAATCCTCCCTAGACCAGGACGAGGGAAGGGAGCCTGAGGTAGGGCAGCGGGAGTCCTTCTGCCTCCCAGAGGGGGCGCTGTGGGGCCCCCGCCATGAGTCTTACTTTATTGGGCTCATTTGGAAAAGGGTAATTTGTTTCTAAATTATTCACCAGGTTCCAGAGCAGCTGGCGGCTGGCGGGTGGGGTGTGTTTTATGTAAGTGTTAGTGGCTCGGGGAGCTGGCGGGAGGGGGCTGAGCCTGCCCGGCTTCTTTTAGGTCCTGCTCCCCAGACCCTAAAAATGCCAGGACTTTGTGTCATTGCCTGTGAAGATGCCAGTGGCGGCGTAGGGAGCCTCAATCTTCCAGGCAGGAAGCTGTAGGAAGCACACATTGATTTAAAAAAAATGTTTTTTATTGATTTTTTTTTAAAGAGAGGAAGGGAGAGGGATAGAGAATTAGAAACATCAATGAGAGAGAAACATCGGTCAGCTGCCTCCTGCACACCCCCAACTGGGGATGTGCCCACAACCAACTGGGGATGTCCCCACAACCAAGGTACACGCCCTTGACCAGAACCTGGGACCTTCAGGCCGCAGGCTGATGCTCTATCCACTGAGCCACACCGGTTTTGGTGACGGATTGATTTTTTATTTTTTTTTTTAAGGAAAGGGCTATTGCCAATGTTTTCCAAAAACTGATTTTCTCAATTCCAGAAGCATTGCGAGCTCCCAGCCCCGTAGACACGTGCAACCGAAAGCCTCCGGCGGCCGCCTGCCCCCGGGGCTGTCCCTTCCTCTGGTGTCTGGGCTCTGGGAGGTTAGCACGGAGCGGTCTCTGCAGGACACAGGGGCAGCCTGGAGGCGGAGTGGCTCCGGTGATCAACGTAGCTTTGTGCAGCGTGGCAATGGCCAGGGCAGAGGAGGCGGCTGGAGGGTCAGCCTGAGCGTGCGGAGCGCTGGCTCTCACTGGCTGAGTGACTGCGGGCAAGTCCCCGGCCTCTGGCTCAGTTGTCCCGCCCGTGAGCCGAGTGGGAGGCGGACAGGGCCGATGCTCTCCCTGCTGCTGCCTGTCAGTCACCACAGAAGACCCGCCCCCCCAGGCCCTGATTTCACTGGTCTGCACGGAGCCCGGGAACTGGCATTTAACCAAAGCTCTCTGATGCCTTTCCTAGGCAGTTCGGGTTGGGGACCACTGAGCTGGAAAATCTCAAAATGTAAAGCCGATTTTTTTTTAAATTTTCTAAGTTTTTATTTTTATTTATTTATTTTTACCATTTTTTAAATTAAATTATTATCTGTGTACATATCTTTACCCTTGCCCCCTTCCCTCCCATACATGCCCTCCCTCCCAGAGTTTTGTGTCCATTGGTTGCACTTATATGCATGCATACAAGTCCTTCGGTTGATCTCTTATCTCCCCCAGATCTCCCTACCTTCCCTAAAGCCGATTTTTAAATGAACACACTGAGAGTGGCCTGAGAGAAAGAGAAATAGCCTCTATTGATAAATCAAACGTCACGACCCGGCTCGAAACCCTGAGCAGCCTGGGCTCAGAGCCAGCTGGCCCGCTCCCTCGCTCTGGGACTTGATGTCACGTCGGTTTTCTCAGCCGTGGAGCCGGGACGGGAAGCCCTGCCTGTGGGCTGCTGATGGTGAGGAGAAGGCGGGTCAGCGCCAGAGGACAGCCGCTGCCTCGGAGCCGCAGGACGGCAGGAGCGGTTGTCATCGCTCTCTCGGGTGCAGGTCCTCCGGCCCCTCGGGGTCCCTCTGGCCCGCACGCGCGGTGACATGTGTCCATCCGGCTGGTGTGGAGGCTGTGCGCGCCCTTTAGGGGCCTGAGCGTTTCTGTGAGAGCGTCCGGGAGTGCTATTTCCCCTCCTCCACAGATGGGGAAGGACAGCCTCCCACGGAGGCTGCAGACACCTTAAACTCAGCAGCGCAGCCCTGAGGAGCAGCAGCGGGGAGGGACGTGGCGAGGAAGGCAGGCCTGTGAACGGGGAGATCACCAGGGACTGAGCCTGCAATCTGAGCATGCACCCCCGGCCAGAATCGAACCCGGGACCCCTCCCCCCTCCCCCCGTCCACAGGCCGATGGTCTATCCACTGAGCCAAACCAGCTAGGGCTGATTTATTTAAAAAAAATATATATATATTTTATTGATTTCAGGGAGGAAGGAAGAGGGAGAGAGAGAGAGAGAAGAGAAACATCAGTGATGAGAGAGAATCAGTAATTGGCTGGGGATCGAGCCTGAAAGCCAGGCATGTGCCCTGACAGGGAATTGAACCGTGGCCTTCTGGTTCATAGGTCAATGCTCAGCCACTGAACAGCACTGGCTTGGTGAAGCTTCATTTATTTATCTTCCTTCCTCGGAAGGCTGTTGCTTTACCATTTTCTAATGACCAGGAGCTAGTGAGATGGCATGCATTTACACTGGGGTAGCCCTGGGCACGCAGGGTGGCCGCTCACACTTAACAGGAAGCTCCCTGTGGTCTGCCTGCACTGGGTTCCCCCAGGGAAGTTTGGCTTATCAGTGCAGTTCCCACAGCGCGGTGCTAGGGGGCGCTGTCAATAGGCCTTTCCAGGATGGAGGCGATTGCTCTGGATCTGTGGCACCTGAACCCTTGCAGTGTGTCCAGTGGGACAGGCACTGAGCGTTGAATTGTGTATAATTTTAATTAAGTTTGAATTTAGGTAGCCGCAGGATGTGTGTTGGAGAGCGCTAAGGTGTGGCTGCAACAAATCAAATTGGCTTTTCTTCTCTCCTTCCTTCTCTTTCCACCCTCTTACATTTCCTGCATGCTCTCCTCCCACCCCCTTTCTCTCCCCACTCCAACAGGGCTGTCCCTAGCCCTTTTCCCTCATCCGGGAGGACTGGACAAAACAGGAGGGCGGAGAGGACTAAGGAAGGTGGCCCTGAAAAGCCGTGGAAAGAGCAGTTGCTATGTGGGGAGTGAATTCCTAGGTGGGGACTGGGTGGCCCTGGCGTGAAGGCTTGGCACCGAGTTCCTTCCTGAGTGACCCTCCCTCAATCGTCCTCATTTCCTGCAGACGCTGAGCTCTCGGCAGGTGGGGACATGGAAGAAAACCAAAGGTTCATCTCTGTTCTTGTCCAGCAGTAGCTGCTCACCAAGCGTTTATTTTTAATATTTCTTAATTTTTTTTAATTGATTTCAGAGAGGAAGGGAGAGGGAGAGTGAGAGAGAGAGAAACATCGATGATGAGAGAGAATCATGGGTCAGCTGCCTCCTGCATGTCCCTCACTGGGGACCGAGGCCACAACCAGAGCATGTGCCCTGACTGGGAATCGAGCCATGACCTCCTGGTTCATAGGTCGACGCTCAACCACTGAGCCACGCCAGCTGGGATCATTAAGTCTTTAAAAAATATATATTTTATTTATTTTTTACAGAGAGGAAGAGAGAGGGATAGAGAGAAACATTGATCAGCTGCCTCCTGCACACCTCCTACTGGGGATGTGCCCACAACCAAGGTACATGCCCTTGACTGGAATCGAACCTGGGACCTTCCAGTCTGCAGGCTGATGTTCTATCCATTGAGCCAAACCGGTTTCGGCAGTATCTCTTGACTAAATAAAGGCGGTCAGAGTAGGAGAATCATTATTCCAATCGGGTGCTGTGGCCTGGCGCAGTCTCACTTATGTCTCAGGCGTGGGAGAGGCGCTCAGTGTTACTAAGCAGGTGTCCACTGGCGACAACAGGATTGTAATGGAAGATGCTGTCAAGGGTTGACACTCGCACCCTGAAGGGAAGTGGGCCCGTGGCCTCTCGCTGCAGCGGGCTGGATGGCTACAACAGTACCGGAAACGAAATCTAACCTACAGTGTGGCAGAACCAGGGCTGTCACGCCCCAGTCAGGGGCCAGCATCCCTAAAATGTGGTGTTTGTTTTTCTCTTTCGACCTCACAGGCAGTGCTGACCAACTAGGCGCCTCGTTGCCTACCTGGGCCATAGTCCTCCTTGCAGTGTCGTTCTCATTGCTTTTCATCCTGATCATTGTTCTGATTGTCATCTTCTGCTGCTGCTGTGTCTCCCGGAAAGAGAAAACAGGTAACTTTTTGTTCCAGTGGATTTGTATGTATTTTTTAACTTTGGTACCTACAGTTGAAGTTCATGAGCTCTTTAGCTCTGCCTCAAAGCACACTGGCTTTCGGAGCCCATGAAAAGAGCCACGAGAAATTGGCAGCGGGGGCACATGTTCTTAAGGAAGGAAGCCATTCCTTGGGGGCCGGGTGCAGGGGGACAGGTCTTTCCACATTTAAAGACACTGATTTGTGTGCTTATCTGTAATGACGTAAGGCTGCTGTGCTGTGTCATTTAGGTGCCATTTCCCCCCCCTAGAATAATACCTACCTATCCCAGCACTCACTCATCCTAAGTTGTTTTCTGTTTTGTAGAATTCCAAGTCTTCCTTTGTAGGTGAATGTTGACAGAGTGGTAGGAAGAAAAATCAAAAGGCCCCCTGTTGACCGAAATAGCACAAATCAAATTAATGAAAATCATTACACATTTCTTCTGGATGGGGTCTTTGGAGCCACCCCAGGCCCATGGGAGCAGTGGCCTTGTTTGGGGGTCAGGTTCCACCCTGGGGTGGGCTGGTGACATCAGAAATCACAGTCTTTGGCATGTGGACGGCTCGGACTTCCCAAGTGCTGATGGGTCTCCATCCTTATCTTTGTCTCCAAAAACCGTCACCTACTTTTATTAGAGTATTTTCTACAATTAAGTCATTTTTCTCTCTTTCTTTTATATATATATATATATATATATATATATATATATATATATATATATATTGTTGATAATATTAAAGATATTTCCATTTCCCCCTCCTCATTTCAGTACCCTATTGCCCAAGTCCATGGGTTACGCATATATAGCTCTTTTCATTTCCCAAACCCCCCACATCGAGGAAATCATTTTTCTTAAAACTGGAATTTTGATGTTAGGCTCCATGTTGGTGTAATTGCGTTTTAATTTTATGGACACGGACTGCCATTAGATGAGTGCTTTGTGGGCGTGCCAGGCACCCGGATACGCCATAAAGAGTGTGGCCTGGCCTTAGCCTCACGGTCTAGCCTTCGCTCTTGCCTGGAGTTGGTTTGTGATTGGCCATTGATTTTGTGATATAACTTCATTCCTGAGGAAACAAAGTGAAAATTCCCGAATTCCCGTTGGCCCACTTTTGATGGGAGCATGTCTTTACTGGAAGCCACAGAAGGATAACTCCAGTAAAACTGACTGGAATTTAAATGGAAACTCCTGGGTGACTTGCCCTTTAATTCAGACCTGACCAGGATTACTCAGCGGGGCGACTCCCCCACCAGCCATGTGGCAGTCGCAGAACGTCCTGGTTCTGGTTGCTTCGATCCTGCTTCCTACGGGCTTCTGTCTGCTCCCCCTCCCTAGGAAGAAGGTTCGGAGTGCTGGTGCATTTGCAGAACCACGGTTCTCTGGCTCTTAGCTTCCTCATTTGCAAAATGGGAATAAGTCTTAACCTATAGGGCAGTTGTGAGAATCAAAGAAACGAATGTATCACACATTTCTGTGATTCACCCTAGCAGGGGTCCTCAAACTTTTTAAAGTGGGGGCCAGATCACGGTCCCTCAGAGAGCTGGAGGGCCGGACTATATGAACTACTAATTCCTACTGTAACACCTCGGCTGCGCTCACTGCCCCAAAAACCTGGCGGGCCGGATCAGACTCCTCTGCGGGCCGCATGTGGCCCGAGGGCCGTAGTTTGAAGACGCCTGCGGCCTAGAGTTTACCTTTTATTTAACCTGAGATGATAAACCTGTGTAAGAGTGAGAGGTTTCTATTCCCCTGTGAGGGGCGGGCCTGTGACAACCTTCTTACAAGGCCCGCCCGGACGGGTGTAAGGACCCCTCATCTTGATGTGAATGTAAGGGACCCAGCCGAGTCCTGGATTTGTCTGTGACAATGGTTTCCACGCTTGCAAATAGGAAACATCACATTTTCTTAAAAGTATTTCTGACGTCCTGCTCGGCTGGTGCCTGGAGAACTCTCAGTTCTCACTGGTTACCTGGGGGCTGAGTGAGGACGGCTGCGGACCCCACTCCGCTGGCCTGGAGGCCGGGGCCACAGCTTCTAGCAGAGGGCTCAGTTCTCAATGCGCCCTCCTTACCAGACCACCTCTCTCCTTCATATAATTTTTCCTGAGGTGTGGGTGTGAATCAGCAGGTGCTGTGAGAATTTCAAATAAGTGAGAACATCACCTAAACAATACGGACAATGAATGCTTTTTAGATCTAAAGTAGGGGTGTCGAACTCAATCAGAGAAGGGGCCAAAATCTAAAATCCAGCCTAAATCGCGGGCCGAATGGTTTACTGAACAGTCATAAACTGTCATTGTGATGGAAACGCAGCGGAGTGCAGTGATGACAGTGCGGTGCAGGCCACATTGCAAGGCCTGGCGGGACGGATTTGGCCCGCGGGCCTTGTGTTTGACACATGTGATCTAAAGTGTCATGAATGGAAGGCGGAGGCAGGGAAGCAGAGCCGTGGAGGATGCGGGCCTCAGAGACATACAGTGGGAACTGGTGTGTGGCCCTGTCACTCCCCTTTTTCCAAGTTCTCCATTTTCTCCCACCCAAGAGCCCATTGAGTAAACACATTGGCAATTTAAACAGCCTTTGGGGAGGGTGGGGGAGGCAAACACAACTGTATGAATTGATACCATTGATACATATTAATTGAAACCATATCTTAGAGCTATAGAAATACTGGTGTAGTGCTTAAGCAGTCTAACTCCTCTGTTAAAAATACGGTAATGCTAATATAGTGGTGTCTAGCCTGTTAAAGATATGATGGCATTAACACCTACCTCTTGCGTGGTTGTGACGATTAAGTGAGACGATGCCCTGCACAGGGCTGGCAGGGTGCAGCACCCAGTGGGTCCTGGCAGCAGGTGTGGAACGCAGGCCCCCCTGCAGGCCAGTGCTGTCTTTATAATCTTGCTCGTCAACTGCAGTATTCACTAAGCACTTAGTAGGTGCCTGCCACATCTCAGGCATTCAGGGGTTATTCATATTTATGGTGGTGAGGAATGAGTACTACTTTCCTTATGTGTAGAAGCCATCTGATCACTCTGGGTAGGGGAACCTAACACCTGCGGGTCACTATTCAGTAACGTGTTAAAATTCAGGGGAGTCGATAAAAAGTGATGAGGTTTTATTTTCAGAATTACTGCCCTGGTTTTGCTAATGTAATTTCATATTCTGTTTTGTTTTCAGAATCCAGTTCTCTAAGGTAAGTTTGAAATCACATCTACTTTCTTAAAACGAAAGCAAATGTGAAAACAACGAAACAGCAACACCACACACACACACACACACACACACACACACACCACACACCCACACACACCCCACCTCCACACACACACACCACCCACCCCACCCCCACACCCACCCCCCCCCCCCCCCCCCCACACACACACCCACACACCCCCCACCCCCCACACACACACACACACACACACACACACACACACACACCATAACGGAAGGATTTAGGACTAGGCTACTCAAAATTAGTACTGAACACGGACAACTCGGACAAGCAGCTATGCCACCACGGACTCCAATGGCGGCCTGAAGGGTGGGAGGCACCAGGTGGCATGTGGCTGGCTTTTCCTGGCTCTGAGGAAGTTGGAGGTTTTCTGCACGGTGTCTGGCATTTGCAACTCTTTCCACAAGAGGACACTGTGCACCGTGACTGTTGTCCCTCCTGCTTTGAGTCAAGGCTCGGGACTCAGGACACTGTAAGGATGTTGGGCAGCCAGGCCGAGGTCTTGCTGGAATTCCCGGATTGGGGTGGGACTGGCCAGGCAGTTCACTGCTGTATGTTGGAGAGAGCGGGGGCTGGAACATTCCGGCCATTCTTTTAAGGCAGCCGTCCTGTGGGGCTTCATGGCAGCACTGCACTGCTGCTTGTTTCACTAGTCCCCTATGGGTAGGCATCTGTGCTGTTTGCAGTTCTTGCTACTGTAATTAGCTCTTGAATGAACATTCTTTCAAGCAAATCTTTGCATGGATCCTGGGCTATTTCCCTATAATAAATTCTGACTTGCCAAGCATGAATATTTACAAATCTTTGGACTTCTATTACCCAACTTCCTGTCCCTGGGAAGCTGCACTGATTTCTGCTTTATTTTAGAAGCTGCCTTTTGCTTTATTTTGGAGTTTGCCTTTTTAAAAATTTTTTTTAAATTTTTTTTTTATTCTAGAGGTTGCATGCTTTTTCTATAAAGAGTCAGAGAGTAAGTACTGCCGCATGCTCTCTGTCACAGCTACTTAACTATGCTGTTGTAACATGAAAACAGCCGTGGACAGTATGTAAGCAGACAGGTGTGCTGTGTTTCAATAAAGCTTTATTTATAAACACAGGTGGTGGGCCGGATTTGGCCTGAGGGTTGTAGCTTGCCAACCTGCTTTATTTGGCCACTGGCTTCTGAGGGTTGAGGACTGACTTTGGAGTGGAGTCCACAGACCCCCTATGGTGGCTGTGAGTGTCCATCCTGAGGCTCATCAACCCCCCTCCCCCCAGGAGCCAGCGGCTGAGCTGGGGCTTGTGCTAAGGTCAATGTGTGAGAATGCTCTGGACGGAGCAGAGTGAACTAAACATCCATCCCTGACTAACGTATGTTTTTTAAATGGTCTAATTCTAGGAAGTCTGCAGATGTGGAGACAAACCAAGAAACGTTTGAGCCAAAGTTAAAAAATGGAAATGAGAACTATGGCTACAGTGCAGGTGAGCGAAGAACCATGGGAGAGGGCGGGGAGGATGTCCACAGGTACACCCCGAGTTTGAAGTCTTTTTGAGCATCTTGATGTCTTACCTCGAGAGGATACAGGGGCGACTTCCCGGAAAGCACGGTCACTAATAAGAGGCGGGCGTAGGATTTGAACCCAGATCCTTTTGTAAGGCAGATAAATTTCTCCTTAGCAGCTGGGGAGGGAGGCCTGACCCTAAAGAGCTGTCTGGCAAAATAAAATTCCATCGAAAGATTTTAAGTTCATCAAGTGTTGCTGAGAGCTCTCCCCAATCCCTTCCCCTTTTCTCTGACTAAAATTAGTTCTCAGCAGCCCCATTCTTTTCTTTTTGCTGAGGCTGCCTCCCATGGACATTCCAGGTGGCCTGCTTTGGATGCTAAAGACCTCCACAAAGCACTGACTGGGTCCTTTGGTAATCTGACCTCAGCTTCCTGCAGCATTTCCTGTGGGCTAGTATCTATTCATCAGTATTTTGCGCCATGAATTTAGTAGCTTGACCCAGATCATGGCCCCAACCAACCCTCTTGCTTTGCTCCCCCGTCTGCCCCCTGCTTGTTTATTTTCCTTGGTCAGCAGTTAAGGCTGTGGATCCACCTGGTCCCTGGATGACACGCGTATGTCGAGAAAGCAATTGATTTCCATCCTGTCCGCCATATTTTTGCTTTTTTAGAAAACTTAAGTTCTGAAAGGATGTGACCTTCGGGGAACTTTAAAAACAGTCTGTGGCCTTAGCCGGTTTGGCTCCGGGAATAGAGCAGCAGCCTGTGGACTGAAGGGTCCTGGGCTTGATTATGGTCAAGGGCATGCACCTCAATTGCAGGCTTGATCCCCAGCCCTGGTTGGGATATGCCTCTCCCCCTCCCTCCCACCCTCTCTACAACAGTGGAAAAGTGTCCTCAGGTGAACGTTAACAAAAACAAACAGACAAACAAACAAACAAACAAACAGAACAGCCTGTGTCCGGGTTCGGATTATGTGTGCCGGGGGTGCTGTATGAAACACAATTGCACTTCTCCGTGAACCGGAATGGTTACCTGTGCAGCCTGGCTTTGGCGCGTGTCTCTAAAGCCATCCTTCCGTTGCAGAGTCGGCTTCTCCCCCTGCGAAGTCCCCCAGCCCCAGCCTTCCTGCGCAGCCGCAGCCGCAGCCACAGCCGCAGCCCAGCAGCAGGCAGCCCAGCAGCAGGCAGCCCAGCAGCAGGCTGCCAAAGCAGGTACGCAGACCTTTCCGCCTTTTTTTCCATTTAAAAATTCTTACCTTGTGGTTTTAGGCCAGGGTGGGGGACCTTTCTCCTTTCCAGGCCGTTTGGATATTTATAGCATCATTCACGGGCCACACAAAACTCTCCACTTACAAACGAGCCTGCTACATGTGGTCAAACATTTAATTAGCTCCCCCTGATGCCTGGGTAGGGCCAGGCCCAGTCCCCATCCCTGTTTTAGGCGGATGATGGGAGATCGTGGCCTTTGTCCTCCTCCGGGTCCACGGCCATCCTGGAGGGAACGGGGCCAGGACATGTGGCCTTGCTTGTCCTCAGTAGTGGGTTTGGGGAGGAAAGACCAGAAGTTTAAGCGGGGCTCGTAGATCTTGAGGTGCCTGTCGGACATCCCCCGAGAGATGTTGCGTGTGCAGCGGGTGCCCAGCCTGGACTCCCTGGCAGAGGCACACGTGTCCATGTTGCTGGTCTGAGGGCAGTTCTGAGGGGTGCCGTAACTTAAAGAAAACAGTCACTTTGGGATCGTGGGAACTCAGCATGTTAATTTTCTGACGCAGAGCCAGCGTCGGTTGGCACCCATGAGTGACAGTTTATGTGCAGAAAATACAGTTCTTTTTATCCAAAACCATGTTAGGCAGAATAGAAGTCACAGAACCGTTTCTGACCCAGAGAAATACGACCTTAATCGAGAAGTGCATTTTTACGACCGTGTGATGGTGTCTCCAGTAAGAACGGACGTTCTCCCCTTTGGCTGCTGGGAAAGCCGGCCTCAGACGGGTTCCCACCAGCACGCACCAGGGGTGCTGGCCTGTTCTCTGGGGTCGCTGCCCTCGCAGCCCCATCGCTTGGCGTAGACAGGCATTGCATCCCCACAGCTCCGGCTCCCGCTGTGAGTCCTCCCTGCAGTGGGGATGCAGCTCAGGCCATACATCTCCCCGGGGCAGGGCTGTGCCTCGCAGGCCTTGGGTACGGGGAGCTCTGACGGGTGCTCACCGCCTTCCAGGAGGCCCAGGCATGCTTTAGCGGCAGCCATGGCAGCCGGGCGGGGAGAGGCAGCCAGGCGGGGAGATGTGTGGGGCCTGCGGCACCAGGGGCCACGTGGCAGATCCTGAGCTCGGGCCCCTTCCCCAGGCCGGTGCCAGGAAGATGGAGAGGTGCCGGGCTTCCCGCCGAGGCTTTTCTCTAGATGGTTGATCTGGTGCTGTGGGGATGGCTGTGGAAGTGCGGGGACCCCCTTTGGAGGTGGCCGGGGAGGGGGGTCCTCGCCAGGCTGTGAAGAATGCCGCCTGTCATCCCCCAGGCCTGGACCTGAGTGGGGGCCGTGGGTTCATTTAGGGGCTCCCTCCCACGCAGCGCCAAGCACGGTCACCCCAGAACACGTTCAAGCCCGCCATGACTTCCGTGGCTTTTCCGTGGTTACCTTTGGTCACATGTCTTTCCACTGGACCAGCCAGCGTGCGGGGGGTCGGGTGGGAGCTGGGAGGCGGGGAGGAGACTCAGAAGAGGGTCCCAGCGGAGGGTCCCCTCTGAAATATAGACGAGGGCCAGGGGGAACCCTAGATGCTGTGGAAACAGGAATGGAGAGTGACGTTTCGGAACTCTGGATGCCGCTTAAGCTTCAAGTGTTGTTTTGAAGACGCACCTGGAGAGAAATTCAAGACGTTTCTGCTACTTGGACGTGTGACCAGCTAAATTAGGGGTGTCGAACTCAATCAGAGAAGGGGCCAAAATCTAAAATCCAGCCTAAATCGCGGGCCAAATGGTTTACTGAACAGTCATAAACTGTCATTGTGATGGAAACGCAGCGGAGTGCAGTGATGACAGCGCGGTGCGGGCCACATTGCAAGGCCTGGCGGGACGGATTTAGCCCGCGGGCCTTGTGTTTGACACATGTGAGCTAAATAATCTATCGGCGGAAACAACGGTGGCCATCGGGCCAGCCCAGAGGGCTGGGTCCTGGGCGAACAGACAGGATGAAGGAAGGGGAGCTGGTTTGCCCGGTTGGAAACTCCCGAAGGGCGGTTAAACAGCTGGATTTTCCTGCTTAGAGTCCGGGACTTGGGACAAGCAGCTCTGAAGAGGCCCATGTTTGATCGCTAACCAAAGGGTGCCTTTGCCGGATGGGCTGCGGCACTGTGAGCAGGTGCCCTTTGGGGAACTTGGACTTGAGACGTATCAGGGGCTGTGTTTCTCCTGAGGCACTTACAGGAAAGGGCCAGGCCTAGGAGCATGCCAGCGCACTCTGTGCCCTCGGCCCCAGGAGGACATGGTCCTGCACGTGGTCCATGGCCACTGGGGAGCCTCCCGCTGGCCAGGCCTCTGCTTGAAGAAGCAGGTCCAGGTGAGCCTGGAACGGAGGGTCCTGTTGGACCTCCCCGAGGCCAGGCCTGCAGCCCTGGGCTTCGTGGCCTCGTCCTCACTCTGCAGGCCGATGAGGACCTCCTTCAGAAGTCACAAGGCCACCGCGCAGCACAATGCCATCTGCTCCTTCTTTTCCCTTCACTGCTCTCCATTCTGCAGGGAGCCTTGACCTCAAAGGGCCCAGGAGAGGCAGCCGAGCCCTTCACCACCCATCCTCACCTTGTCCTTCCATCCGGCCTCCTCTCTGCATGGCTCTGTGTGACACCAATTTGCCACGCTGCTGCCTGAACTGCTGCTGGGTGTGTGTGTGTGGGGTAGTTAAAGGGGCTATGGGGGGGTAGGGTGGGGTGTTTCCAATCACCCAGTGGGACTCCTGCCAGAGAAGCTGGCTCATTTGAATCCTGGGACATTGAACACCATGTGCCGCTCCAGCTCAGCCAGGTTCAGTGACCCTGAGAGGGGCGGTGAAGGATGGAGAAAAGACAGACAAGAGAATGAAAGCTGGGGCTGGGTGGGACACTGTCCTTTCTGATGGAGAGCTAGTGACAGTGCCCGGACCACAAGCTGTGTCTTTATTTTATAGCTGATGCCAGGAGGCAAAGTAAGGGTGTGGTCAGGATATTTACATTCTCGTGGGTTCCGATCCTACTCAGTTACATGCACCTGAACTCTATCAAGCCCACATCACTCAGGCACATGGGGCCACGTGTTTGGACCAGGTTCAAGCTGACAACTCCAGCTGTTGGCTATCATTGTGCTGGGAGGGCTCTGCCCTCTACGCTGGGACTTGCACGTGGCCAAGTTTTAGTCCCAGGCGTGAACCTGTCCAAACACTGAAGCCGTTCTCCACAGCACCTCTTTGTGGAACCTATGCCATGGGTTTGGGCCCTGAAAATATGTAGATTAAACAGAGAGGCCACAGGCTGTGACTCAGTGGGCAGCAAAGGCCCGCCCCAGGCTTCGCCCTGGGAAGCTGGTGGGTGAGGTGCACGACCTGTGTTGTAGGCAAGCACCTCCCACTCCTGCTCCTGCTTCACTCCATGGAACCAGGTCTGAGAGCAGGTGACCTTGGATTTGTCATCAGTGCAGCAACTACCCTGTACGGTGTCTGTCCCGTCTGCACTCCGGCTCTCCCACCTGCCTGGTCTGCCGGTCTTACCAGCCTGTGACACTTCCCCAAGGTCTCAGCCACCGGTGGCCATGGACGCCCCACGGTCAGCACAGACTCCCTGGGGCCTCCTGCATCGCTCCTCCTCTAGGCGGCGTGGCCCACGCCCAGCTGTGCTGTCACAGCCAGGGGATGGGGAGTGTGTGCACAGAGGCACGCCCCTCTGCCGAGCCTCACTGTCCAGGCAGGACAAAGGTGTCGGAGCAACGCAGGTGAATGGCAGGTTAGTTTGGGGCCTCTGAGGAAACCTGAGTCGTTCCCTGTCATGGGCCACTGCACTCCTTAGGGGTCTCAGGGACTTTGGCTTTCTTCAAGGGTCACCCATTTAAACATGATCCAAGGGAGAAAAGCTGCAGGGCCTGGTCTGCCAAGGGTATCATCTGTGTGGCCTTTGGAGGCTGGTTCTTGGTCCCCACCTCTGGACTGCTTGGTTCGGGGAGTTGGGGGTCGGGGGTGTCTGAGTGTCTGTGTTTCAGAACAACCTGCAGGGGTTCTGATGGGTGCTGGGTTCAGGGTCATTGGCTGCCCTGTAGGGGGATGGAGTGAGGGGTGCTGGGCTTCAGTGGGGCATCGCCAAAGGCCAACTCGCCTACCTTGCAATGTCACACCAATCAGAAGTGCTATTTGCTCAGAGTCCCAAGGCATCCATGGCGCCTGCACCCACTATATGGTGGGGTTGTACTAGACCGTGGTCGGCAAACTGTGGCTCACAAGCCACATGTGGCTCTTTGGCCCCTTGAGTGTGGCTCTTCCACAAACTACCACAGCCTGGGTGAGTCTATTTTGAAGAAGTGGCGTTAGAAGTTTAAGTTTAAAAAATGTGGCTCTCCAAAGAAATTTCAATCGTTGCACTGTTGATAACTTGGCTCTGTTGACTAATGAGTTTGCCGACCACTGGGCTAGACCCTCCCTGGGGCTGGCGGTGCCTGGCCTCCTGCCGGGATCACGTGGACCCTCTGCAGGTAGAGCAGGTGCAGACACTGGGCCCTGCAGTGTGGAGCACAGGCAGCTCAGCCCGGGCGTGGGCTCCGAGGGACAGGCGGTGTTTCTGGGTTTCTCTCCCCCCTCGCCTTCAGTGCCAGCCTTCCCGTCTGTAGAGCTGGAGGTGTGACTACAGAAGGCAGCCTCCGTCCGTGGTCTGAAGCTAAGGGGTCGGTGGTGGGCATAGGTCGGGCCATCAGTGGCACTGGGACGGGTACCATGATGGGACGAGGCACCTGCTGGCTCTCGGAGGCCCCTTTCTTGCTCACCCCACCTCAGCCCACTCCCCGCTGGGGTCTCCCGTGGGCCTGGCATTGCTTATCAGAGGCTGAGGGAGGAAGCAGTCCTCGCTCCTGCCACCAGGAGGCAGAAATGGGGATCCCCACGAATGCTTCCTGCATGGGGAGGTGCACCTCACACCCATGACATGCTCGCTGGGTGGGTGTCCCGCGGGTCGGGCAGTGGCTCTCAGCGCAGGGAGGCTCGGTGCAAGGTCAAATGCGAACTCCTGGGCCTCTCCCGGGCTTTCTGGGCCAGACTCAGGGAAATTGGGCCAGAGAATGGGTATTTTTACCACGTGCCCACAGGTGATCTGCTTGGAGGAGGATGTTTTGAGGCCCAGTGTGCAGACTGGGCATTGTCTCTGGGCAGGAGGCAGCCTGGAGAGCTGGGGGTGGGAACCGTGTGGCTCTCACCAGCCGGCGGCCTGCACTGGCCGCCATGCAGGGAGGAGCTGGCGGTGCCAGGGGGTGTGTGACGAGTGTCACCTGGAGAAGTGTCCACGCAGCCCACGGAGCTGGAGGACACTTTCAGACGCCGTGTTTCAGAGGGCCTGAGGCCCCCTGCGCTCAGTGCGCATGAGAGAAGCAGGATCTCAGGCGGTGGAGGCCCCGGATCACGTGTTCACTAGTAGGAAGGTTTAGAAGGAAAACCAGGGACAGATTTTCAAACTGACACACCCACCACCACACTTTCCTCCCCGGTTATTCCCGTTCGGACCGAGCCTACATGATAACACAGATGCCATCTTCCACACGCCGGTGTCTGTCGGTGAATGTTCGGCAAGCAGCCACCTCAGGTGTAACCCCCCGCCAGGCGCATGAGGACGACATGAAGGAGAACAATTAGCAATCCGCACTCAAAATTCCAGCTGCCGGGAGAGGCAAGCGCCTTTTATTTTTACCCCAAAGTCACGGGGCTTGGAAATGGGTTTTGTCTTGATGAATATTTAATCCAAACAATCCTTCCCCCCCCCTCCATCCCCCCCGTCTTTCCAGGCATCAATTCACTGTCGGTTTATTTTTCTGGTTATTTTAGGCAGCTCTGTGTCTTTCTCTGCTGCGCCTGTCAGGTTGGGGGATGAGAGGGTGAAAACCTGAAACCTGGGGCCGATCTTCCCTGTCAGCCCCTCTCCCGTGGAGATGGACATAAATAAACTCCCGGCACGTGTAGAGACAGCCTGCGTCTGCGTGGCGGGCAGAGGACACCAAGGCCAGACCCCGAGAGCGGAATCCCAGCCCAGCGGCACAGACGCACCGGTGTGACAGTGCTTCCCTAGGGGTCCCCTTCGCTCTGGATGCCGCGTGATTGGGAGGCAAATAAATGAAGCCCGGGAGCCAGAGCGATTCTGTCCTGGAGACCTCCTGCTATCCCATCGCCACGCGAATCATGCATGGGGCCCGGTCCCATTATTTACGATGTTGGTGCGGCCGCAGCACCTGGAGTCGGAGCTGGCATTCTCAGCGCCAACAGGAAAGCCAGTAGCATGCATTTAAAAAAGATATATTTTATTAATTTTTTACAGAGAGGAAGAGAGAGGGATAGAGAGTTAGAAACATCGATGAGAGAGAATCATTGACCAGCTGCCTCCTGCACACCCCCTACTGGGGATGTGCTCGCAACCAAGGTACATGTCCTTGACCGGAATAGAACCTGGGACCTTTCAGTCTGCAGGCTGATGCTCTATCCACTGAGCCACACCGGTTTCGGTGGTAGCATGCATTTTAATGGGGCGACACCCTCAGACCGGCCGTGGCCTCTCTTGGAATGAGTGGGTGGCCCGGGATTACACTTCAGAAGGAGAGCGGCAATGACCTCTGGATGGAGCCAGATGGGTGGTGTACGTGGAGCTGGTCCTTCAATGTTACCCCGTCCTCCAGAGGGACTGTGTGCCTCTAAGGTTCTAAATATTGTATGTTGTTAAACAAAATCTATGATTTCCACCGGAAAATCGGAAGACACAACGGTGCATCTTTGCAGGAATTTGCCTTCGTGCGAACACATACTGATGCTCTGAGTTGGGTTGCTCTTTAGGTCCTGATCTCGGGGAACTTCTAAAATGTGTTTTTGAAAATATTTAAGTAGCCATAGCTGGTTTGGCTCAGAGGGTAGAGCATCAGCCTGTGGACCAAAGGATCCCGGGTTCGATGTACTTAGGTTGCAGGCTCCTCCCCAGCTCAGGCCCTAGTCAGGGTGCGTGCAGGAGGCAACATTCTCACATCGATGTTTCTCTCTGTCTTGCCCTCTCTCTTCCACTTTCTCTAAAAGATCAACGTGGAAAATATCTTCGAATGAGGGTTCCTTCGAGAGAAGGAACCAAAAACAAAAACAAAAAACCCCCCAAAGAAGAAAATACTTGAGTAAAGGAAGGCCCTGTGCTCACCGTTGGGTTCCTCCTCGCTGCCCCCTCATGTTCTCTGACCTGGCAAGCGGGGCCTCCCGCTGCAGGGCGCCTGCCCGGGGACCTCCTCCTCATTAACCAGCCCTCCCCTCTGTTGCAGGAACCCGATCTCCATCAGCAGGCCCCCACGAGTCGCCCGCATGTCTCCTTTTACACGGTCGGTCCCAGGATAACCAGGAACGTGACCTTGGTGTAGCGAGGGTGCTGCCCTTGGCTGACGACCTGCCCCATGACCGGGTCACACGCTCTCCCGAGGCCCGGCCCGCCGGCATCACCTGGAAGCAGCGGTGTCGGAGTCATTGAAACAAAGATTTCCGAGAGAGAAGGAACCGTTGTTCCCGACTTCCCAAGTGGAAGTTCAGTTTTCATGTCCTTCAAGATTCCAGTGGCTGCTGTCAAGCTACTAAGTCAAAGATGCAAGCTGATAGGACGAGGCTTCTCAGCACCACACACTCCTGCTTGCTGGCCCAATGCGTCTGTAGCCTGCCATGACTTCCTACACGTTTTTATTACCTTCCATCCTATAAAGTGTCTGTGTATGTCTGTGCGCTGCGTGGGCATTGTTGCAGAGGATCAGTGAAAAGAAGAGGACAGCAGTGAGGACGTGTCAGACATGTAACATTGCCGGGACAGCCAGAGCTCAGATTACCAATGAGATCACGTGCTCAAGCCGGTGAGCACCCGGTGGAGCATCTCATTGGGCACTTACAGGGCGACATCCATGTTCATCTGCCCCCTTATCAGCTGCTCTCACGACCTCAGGCGACTCAGATGTGGATGGTGCGATGTAGGCGGTGTAGCTCACATACCACACACACTGTGATGAAGCTGGAAACGAGTAATGTGCTCCTTGTTTTGTTTTGTTAGTCCTCACCAGAGGATATGTTTTCCCCCACTGATTTTTAGACCCAGTGGAAGGGAGGGAGAGAGATAGAGAGGAAACATCGATGTGACAGGGACACATCGATTGGTTGCTTCCCGTATGCGCACCAGCCGGGGTCGGGATCGATCCTGCACCCGAAGTACAAGCCCTTGACCAGAATCAAACCCGTGACCCTTCAGTCTGAGGGCTGACATGCTATCCACTGAGCTATACTGGGAATGTGTTCTTTAATAAATAAAGGAGAAAACACAAAGAAACTAGCTTCTCTATTCGGGTGGTAGTTTACAGAATCACAGTGTTCAGGAATCAAGCACCTTTTTAAAAATTGAAAGCAATTCTTTAAATAGTAATTCAGTACTAGACTTTTTTGCCACTGTCTTATTTCATTTTTTTTTATAGTTAGCTTTTTGTTTGTTTGTTTTTATTTAGGACCTAGTCTGGGTTCATACATTGTATTTGATGACAGTATCTCTTAAGTCTCCTGTATTTTATTTTACAGTTACAGTTGATATGAAATACGATATTAGTTTCAGGTGTACAAGATGGTAGTTTGATACATACCTTACGAAGTGATCACCCCAAAGTGAGCACCGTCTGACACCACACTTACTACAACAATATTATAATATGCTGTATGTCACCCCCTGTGACTATTTATACCCCTGGCAGGTTCACCTTCCTTCAACCCTCTCACCTTTTTCTCCCATTCCCAGGAATCAAGCATTTTCCAAGAAGCAAAACAGATGTTTGTAAAAACAAAATCACAGCTTCTTGGTAGTCTTGGCCTATTATGCATTTGCCTCATTTAAAGTGAATATACATGTTGTTACTAAGAATAAAAGACGGAAATTGCCACCTTTTCCAAATACATGGTTCCCATGTAGGTCTTCTCGGGGCCTTTATATTTCACTGAGAGGTGGGGCTGCCGTTTGGCTGAGTTGGTGAAGGGTTCCATAATGGTTGGTGATTGACAGCTGCTCTGAGCACCCCTCATGCCCTACCAGGCTATTGCCAAATAGAATTTGACTTTCAAAATGTGTGAAGATTTTAGTGAATTCCATCAAGTTACTAAGTCATCCTGCTAATGTTTAAAAAAAAATATTTTATTGATTTTTTACAGAGAGGAAGGGAGAGAGATAGAGAGCTAGAAACATCGATGAGAGAGAGACTTCGACCAGCTGCCTTCTGCACACCTCCTACTGGAGATGTGCCCACAACCAAGGTACGTGCCCTTGACTGGAATCGAACCTGGGACCCTTCAGTCCACAGGCTGACGCTCTATCCACTGAGCCAAACCGGTTTCGGCCTGCTAATGTTTTTTTTATTATTAACACTCCTGCTTGCTGGCCCATTAACTCTCTATAAGCTGATTTAGAAAAATACTTTTATGATCTTAAATCCCATTAGGGTCCTTTCATGCACCCCCTTCTATGAATCAGGAGTTAACGCAAGGGATATTTACTGGCACATAGGATTTTGGGAGGTACCCTGCCCATTCTGATTGGTTGGTGCCCATACCAATGTCTATTCTGATTGGTCGGTGCACATACAGTGTCTCTTCTGGTTGGTTGGTGTCCACACACTGTCTTTTCTGATTTCATGGAGTTCATACCTTACCGGTGGTCACATAGTTTGAATATAAGCATGGTTCGAAGGATCCTGAGGGGGGGGGAAAAAAAAAAGCCATCTCTTCTAAGACCATATGCCTAAAGTGAAGGGACTGGCTGCCTATTTTTTGTTGGAGTAGAACTGAAATGCAAAATTTAAAAAACACATTAGCATTTTGCTTTTCCACGGGGCCATTTTATGGGGAAAATTGCCAATGCACCTGCTTGTAGAACAAGACTCTTGTTTATTGCACTAATTCTTTACTCCCTGGCAGCGTGATTCCGGCTCCCACCACCGTCCTTGAATGCATACAAGTCAAGGAGAAAGATCAGAGCGCTCAGGAACCCTGTGGGCCGAGCTGCTCATTGTGTGGTCTTCACAGTCTTCACTTAATAATTTTCTCTCCTTCAACCACCGCAGAACTCACATCCCAGGACAAGGCAAACATCATGTCCCTTGCGCCTTTTGTAACCTTTACCGACTCTGATATTCTGAAGGTATTCAGGAAGTATTGGTATTAAATAGGTCAAAATTGAGAAAGACAGTATGTTGAATTATCACAAATATTTGCCATCTGCAGGTTCTAAGAATTGTATTTCTGTGGTTATTTTAGGAGTCAGGGAGGGATTACATGAAGAATATAATTGAACTTCAAATCTGAATTGGGAGCACAATGCCAAATGATTTTTGTAGAAATTTCTCCAAGTTAGTACGTGCTTATTGAGTTTCTCTCAAAATGTTTTCATGTTGATCGTACTGTGGGAGGTTTACCTGTGTCAGCAATGAACAGGTTTTATAGCAGCTTATTCCAGGAGCAAGTTTCTCAAGTTTTCATTTCACAAGAGGTAGATGAGTTATTTGAATAAAATTATCAAGAGCTGCAGTGTCCAATAGCATGTGGCTTTTCATAGTTAAAGTATTTGAAGTTAAATAAAATGCAGGATTCACTTCCTCAGTTGTACTAGCCACAAGTCAAGTGTTTAATAGCCAGAATGGCTATTGGCTACTGTATTGGACCATGCAGATTACAGCTCCCATGGCTGTGGACTGTTCTATTGACTGTGCTGACCAAGAGCCAGCTACTTGACAATGACCTTCGTGTGTCCAGGACCAGCTTTTATGCCATCCGCGCTTTCTCTTGGTGTTCCGTCTGTGCATTTGCCAGTTTCTATTTAGGATCCTGCAAATCCCAAGGCAGCTCCCAACTGAAAATGGGGTTTTGCTGATGTGGAAAATTCACCTCTCACTTCTGGAATGCAGAGAGCTGACACGGGCTCAGGGGCACGGGGTGAGAGGAGTCAGTCCCTCCCAAGGTCATGGCTAAGGGTGTTTCTTAGAAAGATAGCTATGGCTCTCTGATGATGAGTGGCAGATGAGGCTATTGTTATTTGTTTTTAAAAAATATATTGTTATTGATTTCAGAGAGAAAGAGAGGGGGAGAATCATTGATCGGCTGCCTCATGCATGCCTTCTATTGGGGATCGAGCCTGCAACCAGGGCATGTACCCTGACCGGGAATCAAACCGTGACCTCCTGGTTCATAGGTTGACGTTCAACCACTGAGCCACACCAGCTGGGTGAGGCTGTTGTTACTTAAACAAACATTGATATGAAATTATAGCTTGGTAGACCATACCTGCCCATCTTCCTTGGGGTCTTGGGCCTGGTTACTCTGCCAGATTCTGAGCCTGCCCTGCACTCTCAGGGATCTCCCATAGTTTACCTAGAGGAGGATCACGTGGCAGTGTCAACACAGCGAAGATAACTGGAGATCTTGAATAAAGTCGCTTCCTTTGTTCTGTGTGGCCCTGACCTTGGAAAACCACTGGGGTATTGAAGTGGGGTTGCCAGTTTCTAGGAGTTGGATGACCTACAAGGTGAATGGAAGCTGCAGAAGGTGCAGGAGATGCTGGGTCCATGTGCAATCTGCCACCGAAGGGCTTGTGATGTCCGGGGGGAAACACTCCATCCTGCATGAAGAGGAAGGTAGACATCTCTGTGGAGCAGTGGAGGACAAGAAGACTCCAGAGACCAGAGAAATGAGGCAAGACAGTAAGGGAGGAGGGCGCTGGGGGCAGGTGTGAGAGACAGGATGGGGTGGATGGGTGATCCAGCAGGCCTAGGCAGGACCTGTGGGTCTGGGGAGCTGTTACCATCCACCAGCTCATGGGTGGGGAGAGGGGCTAGACCTGTATGGAGAGGGTGGCCGACAGCGGAGGGGCCTTGGGTAGAGGGACACAGTCAAGCCCTGGAAACCTGGCAGGGAGGGAGCTGGAGTGACACAGACTCTGGCCTCCCAGCCCAGCCCTCACCCCCTCCTCATGCCTCCCATCACCATGCCCACCCAGAGCCAGCAGCCAGGTTGCCCATGGATGGAGGAGGGAGGAGCATGGATGCGGAGGGAGGAGCATGGATGCGGAGGGAGGGGCATGGATGGAGGAGGGAGGAGCATGGATGGAGGTGGGAGGGGCATGGATGGAGGTGGGAGGGGCATGGATGCGGAGAAAGGAGCATGGATGCGGAGAGCGGGGCAGGCAGGAGATGCCCTGCCAGGAGGAGCTGGCAAAGTTAGGAAACAGAAATCGAGGGATGAAGACGATTGTACAGGTCCGAAGAGACGGTTTGCCGAACAGCGTTCCACTTTTTCTCTCCTTAGGGATGGATCCATCGCCCTGGGATGCTAGCTGGAGGAGAAGCCTCTGGCTGCATTGAATCTGAGCCGGTTACAACTTTGATGACACATGAGTAGAACAAAGGGATTGGATGGTGTGCCCCTAAAATCCCTTCTGGCACTTACCTTTGTCTAGATGTTCACACACACACACACACACACACACACACACACACCCCCCTTCCTACTCATCTGAGATGGCCCAGCTGTTGGGCTGAGGCAGGCCTGGGAGGGAGCTTGCTCCTCTGCAGGCAGTAAATATTTAATTCTCACCCAGCACAGACTCTGAGGCTATGGCCTCAGGGGTGGGGGTGGGACCCACCAAATTTCTGAAGCTCCAACTCCCACCCTCAGTCCCACCTGGACAAATGCAGAGATGGAGGGG